CGCAGAACAATTTAAAAATGTAAGAGAACAAAGGATGAGAAGCTCCGAGTGGCCACTCAGGTGGGAGGTAAACTTCAGTCTCAGTAGACCACCACACAGGAAGAACCTGTCTGGTTTGGTTTCATCTGGGGCATCATCTGCTTCTTTCTAGCTCCCACAGGGGCAGCTTCTCACATGGAATCAGCCATGTTTGGTTCTCCTCGGCCAGCAGCTTTAGCGTGGCCGTGCCCTGGGTGGTCGTCTTCTTCCCTGGCTGCACAGATAGGCTCTGCTTCGACCCTTGTCTCGTTCGTGGTACTGCCTTGTCTTCCATACACAGATGACTGTCCCAATGATGCCTCCCTTCTTTGTGTACGCTGCACGAGGTGACTCTGCAGAGAGTCACTTCCAAGGCCACATAGCAGGGTTAGTCCTCTAGACACATAAAAAGTGATTAATGGTGCTTCTGAACCTGAGCCTGCTATAGCTGTTCCAATGTAACCGCATTCTGGATTTGTTGGACAGAAACTCTGTGTGTGTGTGTGTGATTATCAGCAGATTCTACAATAGAAACCCACCCCATATTTTAATATTAGAAATAGCAGAAACCCTGCCATTTGTATGATATACAGAGTCTCACAGAAGGAGGAGGAGGAGAGAGAATTAAGTTTCTTTGAACAGAAAATATTAAGATAAGCCTAATTTCCAGCTCAGAGAGTTGTAGGATAAAGAAATGGAAGAATTCTTCAGGGATCAGCCCCAGCCAAACTATTCTTCCATATTCAGGGAGAGGTGACCGAGAAGCAAGACTTGGCGGCCTTCGGTCTTACCTCCAACTTCATTGTGCTACCCATATTGGACACAGCAGGTGTGGGCAATTCATTCCCGTTCTTAGAGGGAAGCTAGCCCATCATATATTCCATCATAATTTCATCTGAGAATTTGTTTAATTTATTGTAGCATGCTTAGGAAACTTTTGCCTGTTTCATGGTCTTGTTATTCTAGAATATTGCTATCTATTTTACATTCATAATGTTATATACTCTATAACCTTATATTCGTCAAATCGCCTAAAATTACCAATATTGAATATTGTGAAGTAAGATCCAGCATAATATTCCTTTCCTGTTGATAGCCAATTGATCCAGCCCTACCAATTGAAAACTCTTTTTCTGCTGCTACATATTCTTGGACACGCCTTAGTCAAGTGTCTATCATGTGTGCTCCATTGGTCCTTCTGCTTGAAGTTACCATATAGCATACTCTCTTGGCAACATATATTTGGTTGTCTGGCAACTGAAATCTTTCATGGTCATCATCTTCTTAAATACATGACTTTAGTATGTTTGGCTGTATAAATATTTTATATCAATTTTAATATCATCCTATCATTCATTTTTTCACAGAAACTATCTGTTGAGATTGTACTGACACTGAAATAAGATTATGTTATCATTTATATATCGTCTTGGTTCAGGTGAGATGAAATAACTAAGAAAACTGAGAAGAAACAAATATCACAGGCTTGCATGCACCTTAGGACTGCTGAACATCAGGAACAGAGACCATGGAGAGGAGAACATGACTTCTTTGGGTGCTCTGTCTTCCAGGATAAATTTTCAGTCTTCATGGGTGTTAGGTTGTGCAGAGCAGAAGTGACTAAGTGAGGCTGACCATGGAATGTTTGGAAAGCCAAGTCACCTTAACCTTGTCTCTGCACAGAAGGTCAACACCTGTCCTGAAGAGTACCTCCAGCTACAGGTCACCCCCACACCAACTGCGAAGCTGCTGCCTTCTCCCGTGTACCCCATCCCTAAGGTGAATAAAAGCCCAGTGCTTTCTTAGATTTTTTTTAGATGATGTTTACATAATTGATCAGGATGGGAAAGAGCTAGGATTAGGGAGAAGTGGGTATGATCATTGTTTCTAAGATTTCTATTTCTTCTTCCCATTTCTGGGAAAAGGGAAGAGATAAGAGGATAGGCCATACCCAGCTTCCCTAACATCCCAGTACCCGAAGATGGGGAAAGGCCATCCTATACCAACCCAAGGTCACAATCGTGCCTGTTCTGAAGGTTCCACCCAGGTGGATGGGATGACTCTGGAATGCTGTGGATCTCACAGATTTATGGATGAGGAATCTCTTCCAATGTCCATTGGCTGATGCCATCAATCTTATGGTTTCCAATCGCCCAGATATTTGCTGTCATTGTTTGACTGGTGTAGTTGTCCATATGTTCTGTTCTCCATTCTCTGCTATGGTACCAAACGTCCTCTGCAGGTCCCAATGCGTTACCATATTCTCTGTGTTCACCATGGTCTGCTGTCCTGCACTCCATCCTCTACACCAGGGAGGACCAGTTCTCCTAGGTGGGCTCATGAACCTGAGCCAGGTATCCTGGGCCATGTTGGACCCCCACTCTTGGGGTTCATGGATCCAGCACCTACCTCACAGGTAAGTCCAAGGCCCCAGGCCAGGCAACCCAGGACCCACCAGAACCCCTATCCCTAGGACTCACAGGACCCAACCCCCACCATGCAGGTGGGCTTGATGACCTGGACCAGGAGACCCAGACCTCTCCAGGCCCCCTGCCCCTGGGGCTCATGGATCCAGTATCCCCTGTGTGGGTGGGCCCAAGGCCCCATGCCATGAGATTTGGGACCTGCCAGGCCTCCCATCCCTGGGGCTCAAGGACCTGACACCCACCATGTAGATGAGCTCTAGAACCTGGACAAGCAGACCCAGGGTCCTCCAGACCCCTCACTTGTGGTGTTCACAGACCTAACACCCACTACCTCCAGACTGACATGGCTCATCTTCCTTGGCATTCACCAGTAGGTACTTCAGCCTAATTCAATCCAACCTTTCCCCAGTATCAACTTGCGTTGGTTGATGCTACAGCCCCCAGTCCTAGCTCGAGTATCAACTGGTTGGTGATAGAGCCCAACTCTTCCCCTGCTGTACTCCATCCTGATTGTTAGATCTACCAGTGGATGTTATGAACTGGTCTGGCCTGGCTGCACTCCCCTACCCCCGGATCTGACCCACATGTATGCTGGTGGGTACTGCAACCTGGTCTGGTTTGGGCTGCTCCTTGCCTTGGTTCTTGTGCATACCTGCAGGGACCGTAACCTGACAAAGGAGTTCACTAAACTGCTCTATCCAACCTCTTCCTAGTGGCAGGTCTTGTACATTCTTCGTCCACCTGTTGTCCCGGCAGGAATGATGTATTTGCCCAATTGGCCCATACCCTTTCTGGTTCTTACTGTTGGGTGCTGCAGCTCATCTATACCTGGTCCGTGCCCAGACACAACTTTCATATTTTTCAGAGGGAGCAAAGACCTAGTCCAGCCTGTTCTATACCCCCGTGACTTTCACGAGTACCAGAGGGTGCTGGAGTCTAGTCCAACCTGGCTCTCCCCAGACCCTGGCCCCACTTGTGCCAAGGGAGATTGCAGCCATGGACAATGCACTGATTCTGGGACTGGCATTCACCGATGGGAATTCCAGTCCAGTTGGGGCATTCCCTTAGCTCCCCAACCAGGCCTCTTCTCAGCCACGGTTCTTGTAGCCAACAGAGATCGCTATTCCACTTGGGTGAACCCATATATTTTCCTACAGATTCTACTCCTAGACCTGATTCACTCACGTATCTGTTGACTTCATGGCCAAGCCTTGTAGAACCTGTTCCCTTTTCTGACACTTTCTGGTGGGTTCCATGTTGTAGTCCCTCAAGTGGAGTGACCTTCTCCATGGAAGTTCCAGAGAATTCATTTTTCACCTGAACCTGACCCTACCTAAGGTCCTTGTTAATGCCTACCTGTGCCATCTCTCTGACTCCTTGTAAGCCCATACCCCTAAGATTCCAGAGTGCATTGCCGGGCTGAGCAAACTCATCTGGGCTCCTCCCACAAGATGGCCAGTGACCTGCTTCTGCCCAGAGCTGCCCTAGATCAACTCCCCCCACCCTCCACCACACACACACAGTATAATTATTGTGGAGGGACAAATCTCTCGGGCTTAGACAAGCCCAGGATTTGCCCACTGCCTTGCAGTGATGGCCAGGGCTAGGGCCCCAAGCATTGAGCCTGACCCGGCCCAGGTCGCCCCAGTAGCCACCACATGGCTGGGAGGGCTGAGCACCTGTGCCTTTAGGTCAAATTCACCTGGGCTCCTTAGAATTTTTTTTAAGAAAATGTTCCTTCATCTACAAATCTTTTCATTTTATTGTGTAGTATACCAGCTATTTTTAAAAAGACTTTTTGTATATATTTTTGTATGTTATACTTTGAATCCTTATATATCTGGAAATGTGTTGTTTTTCTTCTCCTTTATTTGAAAGGCAGAGAAACAGGTTGAGAGAAAGAGAGAGAGAGAGAGAGAGAGAGAGAGAGAATATGTTTCCATCTACTGATTCATTTCCCCTAACTGCTTACAAGGATCATGGCTAGGCCACCCTAAAGCCAGGAGCCTGGAACCCAATCCAAGTCTCTTACTTGCATGTCAAGAACCCAGTTATTTGAGCCAGCCATCATTGTTGCCTTCCAGCCTTCCCATAGAAGCTGGACCCTGGAGCTAGAGTCCGGGATCATACCTACCTTCTTCTATTCTAATTTCTAGGTTGAATGCCTACTCTTAACAGTGTGTCTTTTCCAGATTTCCAAATCTCAGAATCATTGTTGGAAAACCATGATGATAGCACAACAATATACTTTTGTAATTGTAACAGTGGCTTTTAATCATGGTACCAACATATTGCACTGTAAACTTTCACGTACCATGCTTATTGGCTAACAGAATTAGTACCTATTGGTTAACAGAAATAATGTGAGAGAACTTTACAAACAAGAAATATGTAATACAAAACTCATCATTATGGATTTCTTAACAAAGTATATGTGGAATTATATTTATGTATATACATATATATACATATGCTATCTTTTCTGGTCAGATTAAAATCATAACATGCAGTTTGAATCTCAGGAAATCAGGTGATACATATTCTTTTGCTTTTCTTTTGTTCCATCCATTACAGGTAATTACTTTTGAAGAATGAATAAAGGAGAAAAAAAAATCACCTGTAAGACCAAACAAGTTAAAATGGCGGGTAAGTCAACAAATGAGCATTTAGGATATTTTTGCTATAAATTTGACATCTATTTTGTAATTTGTTGTTAAAATTCTGGATATACATATGCTGAAGAATTAAACTTAGAGGAAATAATTTGGAAAATAAGATCACAAGACATTTTTACATGACTAGTGACTTAACAGTACCATGTCTGTAAGTTGTAATACCAAGAAATACCTTCCACTTCTTAAATTACATACAGCTATCACATGTGTCTGTTTCATGCATACCACACTACTTAACTTTTATCTCGTGCATTGCACTCTCTATCCTCCCTTCCCCCGCCTCATCTTCTTCCTTTGAAGTACCTGAGATTTGCTATGATTTCATGGAATCTTTGTCGTCCACACTACTCCTTGAATTCACTGTCACTTTCAAGTTGCCTAGGTAAATAAAATAATTAATTAAAATTGTATTTTCAGTATAATTTTACAAAGCCCCACACCAACTCTCCATTGAAATAGTTCTGAATCTCCAATGAGATTTTCATACAGTCGTTATTTTTGGAGCCAGTTGGTTAAGCCATGGCCTGTGGTGCCAGAAGTTAATTTCTGAAACAATGTCTCTGAAATATATTCCTTTTTTACCTACATATTATTTTATTAGCACTTTAATAACATCTAGCCAATTTCAAGATGAAGAGCATAGCTATAAAACTGAAAGACAGATATAATTTTATAGCAATTTCACTGAAGAGAAATGAATCCGTTTTAATATCTATTTTTATTCTTTTAGTATATTTTCAGGTGTGTATAGTTTTTGTCCCCTACCATTTGCTCCAGGCTGTATCCTGGATGCTTCAGTCTTTTTCTATGCTAAGCGTTAATCTTCGCTACCTGTGATTGCCTGTATCTCAGATTAAGAAACTGAAAAGAAAAAGCTTGTTTCCCTGGGATTTCCTGTTACCTTTAATTAAAACAGTATATAAAAATTTTGAAATATAGAAATATATATATCATATATATATGATTAATACATATTTAAGAAGATTAAATAATAAGTGCAGGTAGATACATTAAAAAAAGATTTAAAGAAGTTATTTATTTGGAAGGTAGAGTTACAGAGAGAGAGAGAAAGAAAGATACCTTCCATCCACTTTTACCCCACAAATGGCTGCAAGAGGCAGGAGCTAGAAACCATATTCAGGACATCTACAGGGATGCAGGGGCCCAAACACTTGGGATACCCTCTGCTGCTTTCCCAAGTGCACTAGCAGGGAGCTGGATTGGAAGTGGAGCAGTTCTCACATCAACACAGGATACTGGCAGCATTGCACCACAGCTTCAGCCCCACATGGATACTTTTTTAAAATTTAATTTTAATCCTAAGGATTTAATTTTAATCCTAAGAACTCCATGCTTCTATAAAATTGAAACAACTGGCCTTTGAAAACAATTCTATGGATCATTCATGATCTTCATTGGCAATACACTACACAAAAACAAAAATTAAGTTGGAATTATTTCTAGCTACATACACCACAACGTTCTCAATAAATTAGTAGGCTAACAACTTAGTAGTAAATTTTAAATAGGAAATCAGTATACTCATCGCTTGTGTAGTCCTCGGTTCTCCATTGCTTTTTTTGTAACTGAACTTTTACCAGGAGAGCAATCAGCACAAGGAGGATAATGAAAAATGGAATGAGTAAGAAGAATGGCCATCTTGTGGGTTTTGCAATAGGGAACGACAGATCCTCACCGTACCGCCCTGTTCAGGGAGAAACACACCAGACATTAGGAAACATTCATCAGGAGTCTGCTAGCAAAGACATTTACTTAGCTTAGTATGAGGAGAAACGTCTCCAGCTAGGTGGTGATTTTGTCATTAGCACATTTTTATATGCAGTTGTTAACTTGGCAGGCAGCCCAGGGAATCACGGAGACCTTCTCTCTACAACAATCATCTCTACCCGATTGAGAGAACTTCCCTTGACTCTCAGTCTGTTTTCAAACCTGATAGACAACAGAGATGCCAACTGCCACAGTGCGAAGCCCACACAGAGTGTCCTCAATATCCCTGTCTTTAGTAAAAATTAGCATACCTATAAGAAATAGCATTTTGATTAGCCCCAATTATTTCCTGTAGTTACACTGATATGGTTTTCAAATTTTATTTAAGAAGTTATTGCTCTGTTAAGGAGCCAAGGCTTTATGCGTAATTGTAATCACTATGGGTTTCTTGTATGCTGAGTTAAAAATCCACCACTTTGGGATTTCTGTGGTGGAATAGTATGCTAATCCTCCACTTGCAGTAGTAGCATCCATGTGATCACTGGTTATAGTCACTGATTATAGTCTTGATTGCTCCCTGCTAATGGCCTGGGAAGGCACTAGAAAATGACCTGAATGTGTGGGAGACCTGGAAGAAGCTCCTGGCTTCACATCAGCCCAGCTCTGATTGTTGTGACCACTTGGGGGGAGTAAACCAGTGAATGGAAGCTCTCTCCTCTATGACTTTCAAGTAAAATAAAAACCTACTTCATTAATAAAACAAAGACCACATCAAGTGGCCTATCTAAATTCTTCACTTCTTTTTTTGGAGGACTTATGTCATGGAGACATTTCTTTGACATATTTTGTATAAATGAAAGAGTGCCTAGGAGTTATCAACTTAGGTTTGTCTAAAGTTCTGACAGAGGGCTGTGTGGTCAATTGTATGGTTTGATTTTATCTTGCATTAAATTTTATCAAGCAAAATTTCTAATTTGGCTTTTACCTATTTCTTTTAGAATTTTGTTTTCTTTTTGCTGGAAGAAAATACGAATAGCTGTTAGTTTTACTTTCAGAACAACAACAAAAAAAAAACCCACAAGCTCTTCTATATTTGCCCTTCATTTTACTTCTATCTCCCATATTTCCACAAGCAAACCATGTATTGCTTTACAGTGAACATTCTGATATCTCAGCTTCTAATTACATGCTTTCATGTCTTCCTAAAATCCATTGCCCCCTTCCGCTGCTTTGATTGGCTTGCAGGGAGCTACATTCTCAAGTTCTGTTGTCTTTTTCGATCAGAGTCACTTGCTGAAGTCCAGAGAAGAGGGAAAGTACTATGGCGCTTTCCTTTCCATTCTGCATCCTCAGCAGTGGTTGTGCATCCTTTGTAACTCTGGTCCACGCGGGATCACACCTCTCCTTGTCATCCCCTGCCTGTACAGCCCAGGTCTGACCCACTCTTCAGACAGCCTGTCGACTGTTCTATGTCAAGCTATGTAGCTTAGCCTCTTTTTTTTTTTTTTAGAATTTTAAAAAATTTATATGGAAAACATTGTTCCAGAGAGAGAGAGAGAGTTTTCTATCTGCTGATTCACTTCCTAAATGGCCCAAATGGCTAGAACTCGGCCAGGTTAAAGCCAGGAGCCAGGAGCTTTTTCCAGTTCTCCCACATGGAGACCAAGGATTTGGGTCATCCGCTGCTGCTTTCCCAGGCACATCAGCAGGGAACAGAATTTAAAACCAGACCCTGCCCCCAAGTTCTAGTAACACCTCATTTTTATTGCAAAAAGTGGTAGTCATGTTAATGAGTTGTCACAAATTCTCTGACTAGCTTTTCACCTCTGCTATCATGAGTTACCTGGTATTTTATATGGAATATTTCTGTCTGAAAAAGTAAAGCAAGCTCTGTTTTCCTGCTTGGGCTCTGACTGATATATCTCACAGCAAGCATGTATTACATGATGCCCATGTATAATGCAAATATAAATCAATATTCAAAACATTGTTTGGGCCCAGCGCGATGGCACAGTGGTTAAGGTCCTCGCCTTGCATGCCTGGGATCCCATATTGGCGCCGGTTCTAATCCCGGCAGCCCTGCTTCCCTTCCAGCTCCCTGCCTGTGGCCTGGGAAAGCAGTCGAGGACGGCCCAAAGCTTTGGGACCCTGCACCCGCGAGGGAGACCCTGAAGAGGCTCCTGGCTTCGGATCGGCATAGCATCGGCTGTTGCGCTCACTTGGGGAGTGAATGATTGGACGGAAGATCTTCCTCTCTGTCTCTCCTCTGCATATCCGCCTTTCCAATAAAAATAAAATAAATCTTAAAAAAAGCATTATTTATTGAATGAATACAATAAAATTCTGTTAAAAAATATTTTTTTTTTTTTTTGTTATTAGCACTTACCACCGGGTACGCCAGCTGTTGCTGGTGCAGTGGTCGCTCCACCTGGTGCATAATTACCACTGTCAATACTCCCACCAGGCCAGTGCTCATCCACAGCAGAGCAATTTGGAGGTAAAAACGTGGGGTTACAGTGACAGTGATGCAGGCTATTGCATATCTGAAAGTAGGAGAGAGAGATATCACCCTGTAAGTGTGCAAGTCGATTTATCAAACAGTACGTATATCCAAGAAGGCTGATTTCCCCATGTGACTGGTGGGAATATAAATGTGCGTGTGTGCATGAGTGTGTGGGCACACAGTTGACCTTCTTGGGATTCAGTCATTTCTATTCTCGCTTTATGATCCTGGTACTTACTCCATTATTGTTGCAATGCTGTCTATTACAGGGAAGTGCTGCAAATGGTAACATCACACAGGCCTTATTTATACACACCTGAAAAGGAAAAGCCGTAAGAAGTTGTTACCTTGCTCACATTTATTGTTTAATTATAAAATTCCACACCATAGGAACACAAAAGGTATCCTCAACCATGACTACTGTTGAACCAGAACTGAAGCATTTCTACTGCTTATTGTATTTCTTTTACTGGGTGAAGCTGAAATTATCTAGAAATAAACAAAAGAATAATAACTTCTCTTTTGCTTGTCCTGGGATTGGTGGGCCAGAAGTGAAACTGTAGTAAAGTACTTGAGAAGTGCAGTACTGAAAAAAAAATGGTTTATGAATACATTTCTGAGAATAGTTTTAAAAGCTGCTCATTGAATCCTGAAGACGAATAGGCCTTAATTTGCATAGTGAGTCAGAGGACATGTAGGAGAAGACAAATTAGTTTGTTGTTATGCGGCAGTCTATTTGATTTCAGTAAGATATGGATCATTATATAGGTTTTATTGTTGCAAAGCAAAATAGAAAAACAGTCAAGACATTTACTGCAATAATTTTAACATTCCATCTCTTATCCTCTACAGTTCCACTTCTAAAGAAAATAATTTCCATTCAATGGACCAATAGCAGTAATTTTTCTTGAGACAAATTGTGTAATTATCATGTAAGTTTGTTATAACACAAGCCATAAATATGTTGCTCCATCAAATTTGCATTTGAACTATACAAAAAGAAGCAACATATACATTTTTAGCATATTTTCTCTTTTACAATTAAAAAATCTTTTGCTACATTCACTTCAAATGTAGACATCATGTAATACACATACGTACATTTTTCTTGTTAATAAAATATTAATGTCACACAGTGAGGGTTTCTTGACAATGGCCATAACATGGAAAAAGAGTATTATCATGTACAAATATGATTACTGAAGCAGCTTTATAGCTAAATACCCAGAGATGATGTGTACACAATTTGTATAATCTCTCTCTACATTAACTTTCATAAGAAAGAAAAAAATGCAGTGTTTGTCCAGTACGGAGATTCCTCAGAAATCTGAAAACAGATCTATCACACAACCCAGCTGCCCTACTCCTGGAATATATCCAAGGAAATGAAATCAGCATGTGAAGGAGAAACCTGCACTCCTGCATTTATAGTGGCTCACTATAGTAGCAAAGAGGTGGAATCAACTGGATGTCTATCAGCTGATGAATGGATAAATAAGATATGATACATATGCACAATAGAATATTCCTCAACCATTAAAAATGATGGAAGTCTGACATTTGGAACAAAATAGATGGAATTAGAGATTATGCTGAAAGAAACCACATCCAGAAAGGCAAAGACCAGGTCTTTATAAGGCTCCCACAGTGGCACGGAGACTGAGGGACAGAAAGGGCAGTGTAGACATCGCACAAAAAAATCACCATTCTGTAAATCAGTACTCTCACACTGTATTTGGCTCTGGGGAAGTGCCAGCAAGTAACACAAATTTCATCTTGTTTCTGTTGTAATCTAACAGACACAAGGAAACAAGTTAGATGTGATGTGAGAGAAGGCCCATTTGGTTGAAGACTTAGTCCCCAGGGGATTATGGTAATGGCTGATTATGTTAATAGCTGATAAGTTCAGGGTAGAGGCTAGATGCAATTATGGTGTGTGATGGTGGGACCATTTGGAAGCGATTAGATTGGATGAAGCTGCTAGTGCAGAGTCATATGGCCACGGAGGACAAGGAGCCTGCCTGTCCCCAGGGTCCTCACTTTGTACCTCCTCTGCTGTGGCCAGCTTCCTCTGTCATTAGACACCAGACTACTGGGGCTGCCTGATCTTATTGTGAACCCCAAAACTGTGAGCCTAAATCAACTTTCTTCCTTTATCAGGTAGCTCCTTCCAAATGTTCACTGTCACTTATGAAATTTGACTCGTAACATAGGATACAGCCTCTATCTCAGGGAAGGTAGCCTTCAACCGAAAAGCAATTTGCTGAGCTTAGAGATTAACCTAAAATAAGGAAAACCGATGAAAATTTGTTTCAGAAAAATAAGATGGAAAGGGCAAAAGAAATTGTAGATAGAACGTTAGAATGCCATTAGGATAGTCCAGAATAAAGGTAACCGTAGCGTGAAATTCAGTGGTGGTGCAGAGACAAACCAGTGGAAGTCTTGGAGACATAGTCAAAAAGTGTCCAAGCCCCTGCATGGATGAACATGAATCATATGTGGAGGATGGAGAGAGACAGGTCAGTGACAGTGGGGATTCAGGCTTGTTTCACTCCATTGATGGTGACAGTTCACTGAGACAGGGGAAGCTAAGCATAAAGCATAGAAGTCTGCGAATGTTTTCACAGATGTTTTGTTTCAAGTTGTAAGATGTTTAATGAGTTTACAGAACAGATCTGAATGACTGACGGTAAACTAAAGAACATATAACAAGAAAGGTTTCCAGAAAATTTTCTCTTTACCATTTCTTTAATCTTGGAAGTATATGATCATAACATACTAACATTATTGACTATGGAAAAATGCTGGTAATGGAATAATTCTGGTAATGCATACTTTTGGGTAAGACTTAGAAGGAATTAGAATAATGATAAATGACTGTTATTTTTGGTAGGTGTGTTAGGGATATAAGAAAAGTATTGCTCTGGAAACAGACTAAAGCTGCTAATGCATGTTAATCGACTCCTAAATGAAACTTGGGATGATGTCACATCTATAATATAGGATTTGTCTTAGTTATATGATCTTTGGAATACATTGAGGGGTAATGACATTACTTGTATTTCCTTTTTCAGTACCTTTTTTTTTTGCTTTAACATTTTGGGGGTGCACCCTGATACAGGATACAGGATGTTGATGCAGATTATCTGTTGCACTACAGAACCCCTCTTCCCACTTTCACTGAGCACATGGGACCACTAGAGCATTCATAATTTAATAAATACAATGAACAATGTGATTCTCAATTTTCAGTGAATACACACATGATTTTAATGAAAAAAGGACAGAACCAGTCAAATAATTATTGATAATGTATTCTTTTTTGAATGCTTACAGATTATATTTTATTCTTTTCAGTTTTTTCTGATTTTCCCTCACTTTTCATAACCAACATATGCTTAAATTGCAAGGGCAAATACCAGATAAGTACCATTCAATGACCTAGTATAAAGTATTAGGAAATTATTTGGTAAGACTACTTATCAACCTACCTTATTATTGCCACAAAGAGTTCCATCTGCTACCCACATCTTATTAATATCCTCATGATCATCATCATACTCCAGGGAAACGCAGATTGAGCCGCTTATGTTGGCATATATAATAGTGGCATTTTTGATGTCAAATATATTATCACTTCTGTGTTTACACATCAATTTTCCACACTTCCGATTACTGCAAATTTTTCCATACATGAAAATCACTGATTTTGTTATAGGCATTAGAATATATATCTAAAACTAATATTTTTAAATGAAGCAGTTAAGATTTGCTAAAGAATATATGAAAGATTTGTCTGAATTGATGAGAAGTGAACATTTTAATGATTACAAACCATGTTGTCTAAGTAAGCTACTCATCAGAAATATCTTAGTAATCATGGAAAACTATAGGTCTCCAGGTGATTTTGTATAGCCTGGCTTTTGCTTCCAGTTAAACAGGAGGAATGTAAACAAGCAAAACAGCGCTTGATATTCAGGCGATGGCCAGATGTTGCAAGGACTTGGAGCTGACACAAGCTGCCCTGTATTGACAGCCCCATCTGTTAAACATAAATAATTTCATACAGCATCAACATAAGGCAAAGTCAGTACACAGAGAGGACATCACTCAAGTCATAAAATTATTGTATATCCCGGACATGCACCCAGTCGGACTGTCGCTTTTCTGTTTTGTACAGTTTTAGTTTTACTTTAGTCTACTCTCTCTTCACAAGCCAGATTTTATAAGAGACACAATCAGGCTTATTTCTATTCCTTGGAAACATTCAATTCAGAATCCCTCTTAACATTCATCAATCCAACCACAAATCCTCCAGTAATTCTCTTAAAACCAGGTGGAAAGTTCCACAGATTTCCATAATGAACATTCTCATTCAAGACAACATGTAATAAGCCAAACTAATTTATTTGACTTCAGGTGTGTTCCCAGTGGCCTTTGGCTGGCAGACATAATAGGTAGAATTCTACTCTGAAACACATACACATACACACACACACACACACACACACACACTTTGAGTGAACTACAGTGTAAGTGGAAAGCGAAGAATTGTATGATAGCTGAGCTCACTACTCACAATGAAGCAGTTTATAATCAGAGTCTAGCTGTGAATCTAGAGCTGGGGAAGACAACCCATAATAACCTGCCATACCCTTTTCTGTGCTAAGAAAAACTTGGAAATTCTGAGTCATACAGACTTGTGAAACAAACACAGCAACTCAGAGAGGTTCTCATTTGCCAAAAGAAGGAAAATTTGAGAAAATATCAAAATAAACAAGGAGAGTAAGGCTCTCTATTTTATTAGGTAAAATAACAGCTAATAACTCTGAATCAATATATATGGCCAAGTAAATAAACAGATATAGAGAAAGGAATACTTTCTTCTACAATACATTTCTAGCTAGTAAGGCAAATGCAGATAATGGAGCTAAAAAAAAAAATCACCAGTATGTTTTGAACAAAGTCTGAGAAGAAATACAATATGTCTACCGTCTCAGTATAATGCTGCATAAGCTACATATTAAATACAAGAGGAAAAATAATAATTACATAAGTGAGAAGCTTAATGAAAAATAAATCTAAAATAAATCTAAGCTAAACTTTACAATACGGAAATAAAATGATGTATGTGTGAAAACTTCAGTGGAGGGCACAATGCAGTTTCAGTGTTGAATTGTCAAACTGCAGAATGTATATATAATCATGGAAACTATCAAGAAAATCCAAGTTGACAGAGCATTCTACAAAATAATTCACTGTGGCATTTAAATGAAAAGGCTTTAATGAAACACAAATGAAAAGTTCCAGATTAAGCAACTATAAAAATAAATTATGAGCAAATGCAAATAGGCAGGTGACTATGGATTGGCTGCTGAGCAAGGAAAAAAATATCAATAAATATGTCATTGAGACATCAATGGGGCTTCAGTATGAGTCATGTTTGACAGCTACAATACAATTATTCAAGAAAATATATTTCTTCCAAAAACAAATACAGTGATTTGTTTATGTATGAAAAAAAAAGAGAGAGAGGACAGGAAAGAGGAGTTAGAAAAACACAGGGCCAAACCAAGTGGGTCATGTGGAAGTAACTGGCAAATTTGGGCAAGCAGTACATGGTGATTCCTTGCACTACTCAGGCAAAGTAGAAACTTCAACATAATTTTGACTCTACTTCTGAAATCACAGCAAAATAAAATTTTATGATAAATGAGTGGGTCTAAGTACCATTCCAGTTGTACTTCATATACTAAGACAATAGTCAGGAGTTGACACTGAGGGCATGCCATGTGGCAGGCATCATTCTAGGAGTTTTTCCACCTGTGACACTTCACAGAATGGTGACATTACACTTTCATATAACACTTATGGGCTGGTGATCATTTCAAGTACCAGGCGATGAAGAGGGGTTCCCAGATAGATTTGTGAGAGCATACCTAGCCTCACACTTTGTATACCCTGAAGAAGTTTTGCCACAGTTCCCAGATATATCATTCATAGCATTCATTTCTTCAAAGCACTCTGGAGGACCACCCTCTACGTCTGAAAAACAGTACAGTTAGTCATATTAAATGTGTGTTCATTGAAATTAAAATGGTCAGTGACTATATTTAAATTTCTGGGATGTTTTAAAATATATTGCACTAAAGAAGACTGTAATAAAACTGAAAAACTTGCTTTAACGTCATGCAAAACTACCATTCAAAATCTGAAAGAACTCTTTCTGTTGTTTTAGTAAGTATATGGATGTAAATACACATATCCATAACTACAGAAAATTATTTTCAGACAAATAATAGATGTTTTGGTTAATAAACTTCTAAAATCAATGTCTTTCTCAAGTCAAATCACAAACCAGTTACTCTGTTTTATTAGATCATCATTTTCTTAGACAAAACATATATTGGAGTTAAAACTGATTCATTCTCACATTCAGCACCCAATCCTTTTAATTCTTGAAAGACCCAACCTGCTTGAAGAGCAGTTTATTTCTCATAAACTCCACTAGTTCTGCTGTAGCTAAAGGGTTAAGGCAAGAAACCAAAAACCTTTGACAAGATTTGACTATTGCATTGTGATGCTACAGAAAAAAGACGCATCCTCAAAGAAACCATGTGGATAAGTAGGGTTTCCGAAAAACCATTTAGAGGCAGTACCGAACCTAAAATTCAGTCCACTTTGTCCCCGAACTGATATGCAAAGCTGATGACAAGTGAGTAATCAACATGTTAAACTTGGCTTTGGCAGCAAACTATTGCTAGTGAACAGAAAAATATGTCAATTTACAGAATCTTTTATCATGTAGTGACAAAATGAGAGAATCAAGGACCTTTTAACATAAAATTGGCTTTTTTTCCCCTTCTTGATTCTAAATACGTGCAAGGAAGGAGAAAAAAATATAAGGCGAAGACTTCCAGAAAGCAGAGCTAATTTTTCTTGCTATTTTTGTGTTATGGCTATACACCAGCCAGGGCAGGAGGGCAGTATGCAGATGCAGTTCTCCACTGAAAACTCCGGAGAACTCTGTCCTAGAATCAAGGGTGAACTGAACCTGTTATAGACTTTAAGCAAACCTCAACAAATGTCAGTGTGTAATGTGAGATGATTATGCTCCCATGTCATACGTCTAGTAGAAGAAAAACTTGCACCTGTACAAGAAGAGTGCTTAGACTAAAGATAGGACTTTCCAAATATAGCAGCAGAAGATGAAAACAGTAGAATATGTGTTTTGCACTAGAAATACATCTCTATCTAAAATATTATCTTCAGAACGAATGAAACACAAACACATAGTTGAGTCAAAATAATGAAGAGTATGATGATACACAAAAACTAAAGCAGATTACAAATTATATAAATCTGCAAGAAAGAGAAGCATTAAAGAATTGAAAGCTGTATGGAGAAATAGTTAAGTGTAAATATATATATTTGAATTTTTTTTAGATTTATTTTTATTATTTTTTTATTGGAAAGGTGGATATACAGAGAGGAGAGACAGAGAGGAAGATCTTCCGTCCGATGATTCACTCCCCAAGTGAGCGCAATGGCCGATTCTATGCCGATCCGAAGCCAGGAGCCTCTTCAGGGTCTCCCACGCGGGTGCAGGTTCCAAAGCTTTGGGCCGTCCTCAACTGCTTTCCCGGGCCACAGGCAGGGAGCTGGAAGGGAAGCGGGGCTGCCGGGTTAGAACCGGCGCCCATATGGGATCCTGGGGCGTGCAAGGCGAGGACCTTAACCACTTGCGCCACCGCGCCGGGCCCTGTATATTTGAATTTTTAAAAATCTGTGCAGCAATGTTTTTAGACCACAATTACAAGAAACTCAAAGAATAGCAGGTATATATATACATATCTCCCCAGGAGCACAGCACATGAAATGGACAGACATCAAAGACCAAGAAATTCCTAATGGAAGAAAGAGAAGAAGAAACTTTGGAGCAGATTTTTGTTCAGAAAAGATGGAAACCATCTGGCAATGGAATCACATCTTCAAAATGTCAAGAGGACAAATAAGTCTAAATTCTATGCCAATTTAAAATGTCTTTAGAAAAGTAAAGATGAAGCATGAACTCTTGCAGATTAATAAAAAATACATTTCAAGCAGGACCTCTTTTCAAGAAATGTTAAAGAAAGCTCTTTGACAGAAAGGTATATGATTCCAAACACAAGTTTAAAGATACACAAAGAAATAAAAAAGGTTTGAGAGGTAATAAGCAGGAGCAAACCTATGATTTTTCTCCTTTTTAAATGCTCATAATTTTCTACACCAAAAATAGAAGCAATGTAGTATGTGTATAGAATGAGTGCAGGGTGAAATATATATATATGAACATCAGTACAGAAGATGAAAGAGAAATGGTTTAAACAATGTATTTGAAGTGGTACAGTATTATTAAATGTACACCCTAATTAATTAAAGATTTATAAAGCTTAGGGCAATCATACATAAAAAAGTTTTAAAAAATCAGATTGTGGGTGTACAAAATTGAACCATAGAGATATCTGCAAAAATAGCAGAATGAGGATCACAGGAAAGTTCCTTGCTCAACAAAACCACAAACTAACTAAAACTGAGAATGAAAGGCAAAATCTACAGACCAACATAAAATCTATCATCTTGTTATAAGAAACTACTGAAAGTGGATCAGTTTCATGTGTTAACTTGGTTAAGTTATACTGCCAAGCTATTCCATTGAACAGTACTCTGGGAGTTTCTGAATAGATGTATTGTAGATGATTGAAGTCTACCAACAGTTTAAGAAAGGTCATCCCCTATGATTTGGGTGAGTCTGATGCAGGCTAATCCTCTGCCAGTGGTGCAGGCATCGCACATGAATGCCAGTTTGAGTCTTAGCTGCTGCACTTCTAACTAAGCTCCTTACTAATAGTCTAGGAAAACTGACCAACTTCTAATTCAGCTTCTTGTTTATGGCCTAGGAAAAAAAGCAGCAGAGGATGGTTCAAGTCCTTGGGCCCCTGCAACCATGTTGAACACCCAGAAGAATCTCCTGGCTTTAGATTGGCTAGCTTTGGCCATTGCAGCCATTTGGGGAGTGAACCAGTGGACAGAGGACCTCTCACTCTGTCTCTCCTCTCTAAAATTTCTTTCAAATAAAAACAAATAAATCTAAAAATTTTACATATATGATAGAAAACAGAGTCCTGCAAAAGAAACCCGCATACACTTATTTTCTACAACACTCTACTGGCAATTATATAGTGTTGTGATGGGAAAAAAAAGCATTTCTGCAAAATTAAATGAGCCTATGATAAAACACAAACATGGATCTGTATCCTAGTTTCTATATAAAACTAATCCCAAATCAATCACTGGTCTAACAATGAAACCTATCTACCAGATTGAAGAGCACATCGCATAATTCTTATGGGTTGTGTTTAGGCTAAGATCTCCTTTTTATCCATACTGGAAGCATGATCTATATGGAAAAATATTAAACTGGATTTTATCTACAGAAAGTTTGTTCAAATTTAGGGTGAGCAGAATTAAAACATTAAGGTATGGAATGGAAAAATATAAATATTTTGTGTGAGAAGACATTTTGAGCTGGAATATCTGAGCATCTTTTTCTTTCTCTCTCTCTTTCTTTCTTATTGTTTCATTTTACGACATAGTTTCATAGGTTCTGGGATTCCCCCAACTGCTCCCCAAGCCAGCCCCCCATATTGAATTCCTCCATATTGTTACAGGAGTACAGTTAATAACCAGTCATGATTCCTTCATTACAGGCAAGGACCATTCTGAGCATCTTTTAATAAAATAAGCAGCATAGTAAAAATGGGATCAAGGATTTGAGTAGTTACTCTTCTAATCAGTACATGAAGTTGGGACAGTTAAAACATAAGCAGAGATTCAAGAGCATCACCAGTGAGAGAAATAAGAATAAATACCACGCTGAAACAATGCTACCTGCCTCTGAAAATGTGCAGAAACCTCATAACACGTAATCACTCATTTACAACTGGAAATGAAGCTTTGCTCCATTGTTAGCAGCATCAGTGCCAATGAGACAGCCACTTAGAAGAACATCCATTCAACAGGCCACCCAACTTACTCCACAACCAGATTTTTTTTTTAATTCTTAAAGATATGTGCATAGGGAAATTCATGTGCAAAGGTTTTACTGTCTGTTTTTGTAATTGACCAAATAGGAAAATAATACCTTGAAAAGTAAATAACATTTGTTCATCCATAAGCTAGAATGCCACTTAGCAATATAAAGGAAGAGCTTCTTAGTCTTCTGCCACAGGCTCTGTAAAATATACCAGCAGGGTTTTAAAAGAGTTGGAGGCCCTGTTCTTGTTGCCATAGCCATTGCTCAACATTTATGACTACAGCGAAATTTCTAAGGCCTTTTCACTGGCTTTGACCTCAGGGACCAAGCTTCCAAGCGACAAAAATGCTCAATGAAAAATGTGGTCTGTGGCTTTGACTGAAGTCAAGAATGATTACAAGCTTCTGCTTTATTGTTTTTCCTTTTTCAGGAGACAATCTCTGCCCAAGTCAAGTGTGATCTTCAAGAATCTGCAAAGGGACCTAGGAATTTACTTAGTGGACAGTCATCATCTCAAATTTATTAACTTGCTCTTCTTCCCAGCATTCAGAAGTGCCTCTGACTTTTGACCTTTTCCCTGAATTGTGTAAACAATTTAGAATAAGAGTTCCAGGCTTCTTGTCTGCCCTCCTCCCTTATGATAGCTCTTTTTCTAGAATTCTTTAAAGTGTGGGTTCTACCATTTATATAGCACAATCCTACATCATTACCAATTTGTTTTCAGTTTTAAGAACAATATCAGTAAAATTAAGCAGTAATAAATACCTTCACCAAATATACTTCTACACTGCTTAGTGAGATCAATACATGTTCCATTGACACAGATCCACTGATTTGAGTCACATGGAAAACCAGTCTGAACATAGATGTTGTCAGGACATGCTGCAGATGATCCATTGCAGAACTCAGCGACATCACACTCACCGGAGGCAGACCTACACTCTGTTCCTCTTGCCTTATACTGGTGGGGTGAGGTAAACGACATTGAATAAAGCAGAATGTGAACATATGAGTATCATGAGGAGTCATCATGTTCAGATTGTGGACAAAGGAAAATATTTAAAAAGCTCCTACATTGCAATCCTCACAGCACACTCCTAAAGCACATTGTGAGCCAGGTTTCAGTGTACAGTCTTGAGATTCACAGCATACCGGTTGGTTTTGAGAACATTCCTGAAAAGCAAATCAAACATCCTGAGGGGTCTTCCAACTTTTATTTACACTGGATAGGCAGTTAGTGGATGAAAACACTTTTACATATTACATAACATGCAAACAGGCCTAAGCTACATGACTGACAAACAGAATAAAAAAAGGGGCGGGGAAGCCATTTATATACTTAACAGACATTCTTTGATTACCACCTAAGCAGCATATTTTGTGTTCTCTAGATTCCTATAGGGGTCTGGCTGTGTTGGAAATAAGATTCTCTGAAGTCCTAGAATTCATCATGGCTAAAACATTGGGAAAATTTCTGGCTCTGGCAGACAAATAAATGCTTAAATACAAGATGTGGAATAAATATAAATGATGATTAAAAAATCCATTGTAATGACTAGTTCTTCCTTGGTCCTTCTGAGTCCGTAGTACCTCCTAAATCTCAATACTTCATGGGATATTATAGGCTTCTTTTATTCTGAAATTCTCTTCTGGAGGGCTGGATAAAAGAATATTTCTGAATGAGAAGAAATGATCATTTTTGCATCATTTGCCCATTACTTTAGTATGCCCTGTTTGATGGTATAACTATATGTTGGGTGAAACTATTTTTAAAAATTTATATTATCATAGTTACTAAAAGCAACAGTTAAGACAGGAGAAGCCTGGAGTGTGAATTCATACGCCTGCATTTATTTTTCATTTCTAAGATTTAGCATAGGATGAGTCAAGGAAACATGCCAATAAATTGTATAAAAATAAATCATGACATTTTGTAGTCTTAATATGAGTTACAGCAAGACATTCACCAGGGAATACTAATTTCCCAATGTTTTTCACAGCTATTTTGCTGAGAAAAGTTCATTACTATTGTTAGCTATACAGAATCCTAGAGAAGAAAATCACATCACAACGACATTGAATGGAGCTACGGTAAGACACACTACTGTCAGAATTTAGTAGACATTTTCAAGATGTTTCCATTCAAACGAAATCAGGCCAAATGGTGAAGAACAATTTCTTTAAAACTATGTCACCCATTATGGGTCTAGAAACTCACTTTTCTGTTAGGAGGATGGGAGTCCATGACCTTGACCATTGCAAGAGAAAATACTGACTGACTAAGATCTGCTCACACCTTGGGTCCCTAAATCCATCCACTCCATTTCTTACTTCATTACCTTTACCTCTGTTATTTTTAGAGCTCTTCAGCACATCAACTTAAAAAAAATTCTGTCATGTGAAAAATCTAGCTTACTGGATTATATATATTCCAGATATTTTTGGCTTAATTAGTGACCTGAATTAACATGTGTTTTTCCCATATTTTCTTGTTATACAGTGAAAGATGTTTACCTACTTTTGTGACTCACAGAGGATTTTAAAAAAATACATATTAAAAAGGAATGCTGGGAAGCAATGCACTCAGGTGGAAGAAAAAAAAACTTAGGTCAACTCAATTTCAGGATTACTGACACTGAACAATTATCTGGATGGCATAGAAGTTAACAGGGATGGAGAGGGGTCAGATAAAGGAGGACAGTCATTCAGGGTACTGGGTTTAAGTTATGCAGGACAAGTCCATTCTAGAGAATCAGTCACAATAGTGCTACGGTCATGATACTGGGGTGCCGTCTTGCAATCTGCCGAGATTTTAAGTGTTCTCACCAATACACAAATAAATAGTACAGAAAAAAGGCACCAACCATTTGACCTTATAGGCATACTAATTAAATGGATTGTGGTAACTATTTCACAAGCTACATATTCACCAAATCATCAACTTGTACACAATTAATATAGACAATAGAGCTGGAATAAAACGAAATCAGATGTCCTCACAAGACACTGAATCCACAACACTGCACTGCACGGGTTTGTTTGTCATGATCCCTATACCTTTGTCTAAAGATTCTTGGAGGAAAGAGAAGAAAGAACCCGTGCAAAACTCCAAACACTAACACTCTGCTGCAGTCGTAGCAGACCGTCCTCGCAGGGGCACTGACCTCCTCACTCCCACAGTCACAGGTTTCTCCTTCTTCCAATATTCCATTCCCACAAACAGCATCCTGTTTGTAAGACGGCTCGAGATGTGGCTGATTTTGAAGACACTGGGACTTTTGCTTGGAAATGAAACGTGAGAAATCTTCTATGCTGCAATTACTAAACATCTTCATGCCACTGGAATGGCTAAAAATACATCAAACTTCAAGTTTTTATATAAGCATTTCCATAAACAGCTTACCTTTGGAATCAAGCTATGTAATAGTATTCCACAACAAAACGCATGCTCAGTTTTGCTAGTGTCAAAAAGTGCTCATGCCACATGCATTGAAGGTCAACGGTGCAACAGTTTATATTAAATGTTTAGTAGGAACAAGGAAACAAGAAAATTTTCTTAACTCTTACATTACACTGCTCCTACCTTACAGAGGGGCTCCATTTTTGTTTCATTTATTGCTTCATTTTCCTGTTATGACATGTTGGCAGACTCCTCTAGTAATGAGAGTGACAAGGCCTTCGCTTTCATTTTTTAAAAAGGTGTATTGATTTGAACAGCAGATTTTTACAGAGAGACAAGGAAAGAGAGAGGTCTTCCATCCACTAGTTCACTCCCCAAATGGCATCAGTGACCAGAGCTTAGCTGATCTGAAGCCAAGAGTCAGGAGCTTCTTCCAGGTCTCCCAAAGCCTTGGGTCATCCTCTGCTGCTTTCCTAGGCTGTAGGCAGAGAACTAGATGCAAACTAGAGCCACTGGGACATAAACTGGGACCCATGTGGGATGCCAGCACCTGCAGGCCAAGGAGTAGCATACCACTCTGCCAGCCCCAAGGTTTTCCTTTCTTTGTTTATATTTATTCACTAGCAATTTGATCTAGTTCTGACATTTTAAATTTCACATGAGACAGTTCAAGGTATTTCTCCTTCAAATTCAAACTTAGCACCAAACTCCAGAATCTCTTATTTGATAGTTTACTTAGTGTTTTCTTTTTAAAAACTTATTTCATAGAGGCCTTAATTTAAAATTCTCCAAACTCTTGATACCTCTCTCCCAAAACCTGTCCACCACAAAAGATAATATTGTTGTTTTGGAATGTGAACTCTGTGGCCAATCAAACCAAATGAATTAAAATTTTTGCTCTATACTCACAAGTGATTTTTCCTTCAATCTTCAAAAGATATGGCAAGTATGACTTTTGGTTTTTTGAGAGGAAAGAAGTGAGTTAGGGAGGAGAAAAAGGAAGAGACAGATCATTCTCATCTGCTGATTCACTCACAAAATACCTGAAATGGCCAGAGCTGGGTTGGGGACGAAGTTAGAAGCCAGGAACACAATCTTGGTCTCACTTACTTTCAGCATCTTCATTGGTGGGAGGTTAGAGTCAGGAGAGGGAGCTGAGAATTGTACCCAGGCCTCCTGATGAGGGGTGCAGGCACCTTTGCTTGCCAGGCTCTATGCAAATGCGGTATTTGGTAACAAGAGGTATTTATAGAGAAAGGGGTATGGTCATTGGAATTGGTATATTGATCTGAGGTCATCAGTCACAAGGGAATCTTTAACCACGATTTAACAGCTGAAACTTAGAATAAATGCACCCAAAATTATATTAAGATAAATGATAGACATAAGGCATAAAAGCCAAGCCTTACATTGCTTCTGGGTTCATCAGGCAGATGGATCCAGGACACTTGCACTTGTTAACGTCATCATAAGCTATTCCCATACTAAGACTCAGCAATTGCACTAAAATAATTGCAAGTGATTCCAGACTTATGGTTCTGGGATGCTGAAACAGAACAAATGCACATGTACAAGTTAAGGGAGACATTTCATTTACTGGGAGAACAGTGTAATTGTTTAAAAATAGTTGCAAAATAAAATAGGATAGAGGCATCTGATAATGTTATGCACACAAGTGCCATCTATGCTGACCCGACTTCATTTGTCACAGGTATCATTATAAATACAAAAACAGAAGAAGTAGAAATAGGAGAAACAAAAAGTGAAATTTTACTAAAACAGGAAAGGGTGAGTCATTTGCTAGGTTCCCACCAAGGAAAAGCCGTACTAGTAACTTGCTAACAAACAGTTGCAGTTGAACTGGGAGCAGAGGTGGGACTTGGCACCAGGTGCTCTGACATGAGGTGAAGACATCTCAAGTGGTGTCTCTGCTGCTGTAGCCAAGATCTGTATCCAGAAATGTGCTTTAAATTCACACATTAACCCTCTGAATTTATTTATATTTTGGTGATGACATTAGATAAAGAATGGGACTCCAGGGTCAGTGTTGTGGCATAACAACAGGTGGATTACCTGCAGTACCAGAATTCCATATAGGCAGCAGCTCTTGTCCTGGTTGTTCCACTTCAGAAGCAACTTCCTGTGAATGGTCAAAGAAAAGTAGTGGAATATGATCCAAATATTTGGATCCTGGGAGACCAGACAAAGCTCTTGGCTCCTGACTTCAGCGTGGCCCAGCCTGGCCATTGTGGCCCAGCCTGGCCGTTGTGGCCATCAGGAGACTGAGCCAGAGGGGACAGAAGTTCTATCTCTCTGTAACTCTTTCATATAAATAAATACCAGCCCTGACTGTGGTGACCATTTGGGGAGCAGATGGAAGCCCTATCTCTGTCTCATTTTCTCTTTGTAACTCTGCCTTCCAAATAAATAAAGCAAATCTTTAAATAAAAAATGCTTGATTAAAAAATATATATGCTTATCAGACTTTCATGGAGTGGACATTTTGTGTAGTGGTTAAAATGCTGATGGGAAACCCACATCATATATTCCAGCACATAGGTTCAAGTTCTGGCTTTGCTCCTGATTCTAGCTTCGGCTAATGCAGATTCTGGGAGACATGTGCTGATTTCTGAAGTAGTGAGTCCATGCTATTCACACCAGAGACCCAGACTGAGCTTCTGGCTCCTTCCTCTAGCCTGGCCCAGACCCAGCTGATGTAAGAATTGGAGAAATGAAGCATCAGATGGGAGATTTCTCTCTGCCCTTTTCTCTTTCAAATAAAAACTAAAAATAAAATATTTAATTCCAGCTTTCACGAATTTTTTGAACTAATATTATAAAGTAATAAAAAAAGCAAAATTATATGTAGCATTGAATTTTAATTAATTTTGGTAGCAAAGACTTTAAAAAATTATTTTTATGAGAGGGAGAAAACTATCTTCTATCTGTTGGTTCTTTCCCCAGGTGGCCACATCAGCTGGCGCTGATGGGGATGCAGCTGGGCTCCCACAACTCCACCTGGGTCTCTGCTATGCAGGTCCTGAACGCTGGTGGATCCCTGCCAGGATTTATACTGGTGGGAACCTGGAACAGAGAGGAGCCAGGAGTTGAACCCAGATGCTCTGATGCAGCCCACTGAAGCAACATCTTTCTTAACCACTATGCCAGGTGCCACACCCACACCAGCGGTTTTTTGCTTGTTTGGTTTGGCTTGGTTTGGTGGCAAGAACTATAGTACAGCAGATAAGCTTCTCTGGGTATAATACATATGATGAGGACAACAGCAATTAGCATTTATTAAAAGTTCCCTATGTGCTGACAACCAGAGAGAGTGGCCAACAAATAGATACTTGTTAAGGGAACAAATTATTTCATCTTATAAATGTGCCTGTTGTGTTACACAATTACTTTGTGCATTGTGTGAATTGCATGATTAGTTTTGAAATTATATAATTTTTATCATTACATCTCTATGTTTTATAATTATATTCTTTTAAATGTACCCCTATGTTTTGGAAAAACTTTGTCTTTAAGCATTAAAATCAGATTATAGTAGGTGCATTTTTTCCCCATAATGAATATGTTTCAAAAGTTATCCAGTTCATCAATTAGAGAGCCCATGAGAAGCTGAAAGAAATCAAGAGAAAATTTGAGAAGCTAGGCATGCAGATAAAGAAAGGTTAAGATAGAATTTCAGGATTGGATATAGCTTCTACTGCTTGGTAGAGCTTGCCAACAAGGTCATTTCTTCTTAAGATAAGCCTCAGTGTGTTTGCCCACAGTTTTCTCTACATCATCATAGAATACACATTCTTGCTTGACTTTGCTATTATCCATCTTCCCTCGCCACTAGTCTGGTTCCAGCTATTTTTCACATCAAGACAAAAATAAATTTATTCATGTTCATTCATTCTTATTTGCATAATCTTCATAGATTTCAATCAGTGTGAGCAATGTATTTGACCAATCTCATGAGATGTTATATGCTAGAGAATATTTTTATTGCATGTTGCATTCAAATAAAAAAAGTTTAAAATATTTATTTATTTTTATTGGGAAGGTAGATTTACAGGGAGAGAGGAGAGACAAACATCTTCCATCTGCTGTTTCACTGTCCAAATGGCTTCAACCGCCAGGGCTGAACTGGTCTAAAGCTTGGAGCGCCTTCAGTGTCTCCCATTCAGGTGCAGGGTCCCAAGGCTTTGGGCCATCCTCTGCTGCTTTCCCAGGCCACAAGCAGGGAGCTGGATGGGAAGTGGAGCAATCAGGGCACGAACTAGTGCCTGTATGAGATGCCAGCACAATGCAAGGTGAGGAATTAGCCACTGAGTCATCACACCAGGTCCTCAAATGATATATATTTTTTAACATACAAATTATAACTTCTCAATACAGACAATACAGTCTTTTTATATTGGCTATGGCTTTTCTAGGAAACTTATTACTTTTTTTCCTTTATATGAGTTATTTTGATTTCATTGTTTCACTGCAGCTTTAATTATTCTTGATTTTCTATGTATGTATCGTTTTTCAGTTAGTGGTCGTCCAAGCCCTTTGTGGTTCATGTGCTGCGAGCATACAAATGACCAAGTTGAGATTGCAGGAAGGATTTCCTGGTACTTGCACTTTGTTCAACTGGTTGTAGCTGCTGACAGTATTCTGGGCCAGTAATGCTGTGAAATTTATCTCCTTTTTTTTTTTTTTTTTTTGGTTTGTTTCTTTAGAAGTGTTCTATGCCCATTTTGGCTAATATCCAGACATTGCTTCTTCCATTTCACTTGTCCACAAATCTTCCTTTTTTCTTTTCTCTTTCCCACAATCTTTTCTGATGTCTCTTGGAAGAGGTTCTAATTCCGACTTTCCTGTTTGATAAATTATACTGTTTATGTCGATATTAGATAATTTACTGTAACTACTATATTTTCCATATGTATATTTCCAACAAGTCTTCTGATGTGTTTTCTTACACTTTATTCTGTTTGAAATATCTGTGTTTATAGTTTAAGATGCATCATTGATGTGTTTTCATTTGAAGCAATTTTCTTCTGAGGATCTTTAATGCTCAGACTGAACAGTTCCATCCGTGTACATGCAGGTATATAAATGAGGTCACTGGATAAATTATCTGATGCATGAAATTCATTAAGACCCAGCATTAATGTGTCAGTCTTCTTGGGTTTAAGCAAAAGGCAAACTCCAAAAACCACTTGCTATGCTAAGTGAACTAAGTCAAATACAGATTTAAAATAAATCAATGATTGAATGTTCAGATTACAACAAATTGAAAAGTATGCAATAAGACAAATATTGATCACTACCTTAATAACTTTCTAAAAAGGATAAATTGATTCATAATTGGAACATGGTAAAAATCATGCATATATACATATACACACACATATATACATATATATCAGCTCAATGGAGATTTCTTAGAGTTCAAATTTCTCTAAGTAGCAGGGACAAGAATTTCTGAGATAATTGCAAGTTTTAATATGTATATATTAATATAGTAAAATATGGCTATTTTTAACGGTTTGTATTCTACTTACACATTTTAATCAAGCAAACGAAAACATACTGTACCAGAGCAACACCACCTCCATAGTCGGCGTCACACATCTTCCCTTGATAGGTGGCTCCAACATAATTTGCTATTTCTCTGTAACTTAAGTTTAAAATCACGTCAAAATCACAAAAGGAAACACAATCAAAACTGAATCTTCATAACACAAATTTTGGTTGGGCACTCATTAAATTTAGAGGTATTTCCACCCAATATTAGTCTTACACAGCACAGGCTATGAGTAAATGTTTCCTCTTCTTTTGAAAACAATAAAAGAGACTAAATAGAAAATATATTTTTATCTGGACGTCTACACCATAACAGATTCAGTTTATATAATGTATCACATATCAATAATTTTCCACAAATAAAAATGATACAAATAAATAAAATCCCCTAACATCAGAAAGCTTAGGGAGTATAGCCTGTCAATGAGCCCTGGAGGTGTGCTGTGGATTAAAATTCCTGTAATCTGGGGAAGCCTAGCAATGTTTTGCAAAGGGTGGGCAAGTTTATGGGACAGAGGACGAAAAACACAGAGGATGCAAAAGTTGTGGAGGTTAATATTTCTTTTTTAAAGAAATGTTTGAATGCATCGGTTTTGCTGCTAGTACACTGTTTTTTTGATCTTTAAATACTTGCTCTGCAAATTAACAAGGACTATGTATTACTGTAGTTTCAATGTTTTGTGGTTATTTTAAAATGTACTTGATATGAGAGAAATTGGCCATCTTTTCCTGTATTTAATTGTTTATGGCCTATGCCTGTTTGCTAGCTGGACAATGCACATTTTTCTCTGCTGAACACTGTATGAAATGAAGCCAATATGCTTTTGAATATAAAGCAAATTCATATTTATATAAAATGTTATATCGAAAATGAGTTATTTTTAAACACAAACTAAATACTAAATAATCGTATCCTATAGAATACATAAATCCTGAACATCAGTAAAAGACAAACAAAGAGCTTATTAAATACAAGGAGCTCCCAGACTGAAACTTCAGCATGGTGTTGTAAATCATGTTAGAGAGATTAGAATAAACAACAGCTTTTCAGTTTTATGGTAAAAAGCACAGGAGGAGAGCTAAATTACAAACATATATTTCCTCAAATAGATACTGTTAATGTTTAAGCATAGTTAGGGAGAGGAGCCAATGGCAGCAATATTGAAGGATAAATTTTAATTATGAACTAATAAATGATAGAACTGATGCCCTATGAAAGATAATATTCACAAGATATTATTTGCAAATGAAATTAATTTTCCCTTTATAAGGGCTCATTAATTATTGTCCGACAGTGAGTCAGTTTGGCAAGTGTTTTGTGTAGATTCTGTAGTAATTCCAGGTTATACTTACACGAGTAAAAATGCCACATCATGTGGGCGCAAAACAAGATAAGACCTTTTCCATTTTAAAAATTGGTGTAGTAACTCATTAGCATCCCCAGTAGTTGAGATTTTATTTTCATCTATCCAAAGCTCCAGTGAAGATAGGATAATTGTAATATTAAATGAAGCAAAAACCTAAAACAACATATGCAAAAATCAGTGTTCCAAAATCATGGCTTAACTAGATTCAGTAATACATCTATAAAACTGAGCTTTAAAAAATTAACTGTAAATTTGGGTTGAGTCTTTTTTAATTTTTAATTTTGTTTATAGAGTTGAGAAGGATGCACAGCAATGTGAGCCTCTGATTAGGGTGGGGAGGTTCAGGAACCATCCAAGATGGGTAAGACAAATGCTTTATTTATTCATCTTGTGTCCACAACAGGGAGGAGGAAGGAGGGCTACTCTTTGTTATCAAACTGTATCAGCATCCAGGGATGGGGGACTGTCATTTGTTGACTCCCTAGAGACCCTGACGTGGGGAAGAGTGTTCCAAGGGTATTACTTAAGTGATTTTGACACCTCTAAGAAGTCGTTGGTTTCATTGCTCCGGGGTTGAAAAAAATCTTTCCAAGGTCTATTGGTTGACAGAGTTCACCTTAGTTCATCCACAGACCTGGAAACATGCTGCAAAGCTTGGCCAGAATTATCAACCTGTTCTGCTTTCCATCCTCTGACAAGATGGTTGACATCCCTTACAGTCCTATCTAAGCTAGTTGCCATGTCACACGCGTGCATCTTGGCATGCTAAGTAAGCACTGTATAGGCATCTAACAACTAAAGAGGCCCTCTCTGGATACTTGCACTCCAAGATCAGACTACACATCCTGTGATTTTCCCTGTGGCCAGCATGTGAGTCCAGTGGTCTAGCTAGAGAGTTCTCCAAGAAACTTTACATGGGATGACTTCAGACTTGACACTTCTGTGTGCCAGCAAGAGCAGAGTCAGGTTTGATCTGCCACCTGCATCAGCCAATGTACATACTGGTGGATTCAGGTTGGTCAGTTCCTCTCCAGCCACACATCTTATGCAAACTGATGGGTGCTGTGGCCCAGCTGAGCCAGCCAGCCACAGACCCAGTCCTTACATACCAGTGGGTGCTGAGGCCTAGTTGGGGTGACTCCCAATAACCTCCACCAGGCCTGCTCCCAGCCCCATTTTGTGTGTGTGTGTGTGTGTGTGTGTGTGTGTGTGTGTGTGTGTGTGTGCCAGCCTCTGCTCTGTCCTAGACTAGCCCAGCTCATATCCCATCTGGCTCTCTTGCACACCAGTGGGTGCTGCAGCTTAGCTTAGCCCAACCTGCCCAAGAATTAGCCCTCATGTTGTGTTGACAGGTCCTACCGCCTTGTCCTGCCTGGTCCCCCTCTAGCCCTGGTTCTTGTCCTAACCAGTGATAGGCAGAGCCTAGTAGGGGAGTTTCTACAGTTTCCCCTGCCAGGCATGTTACCAGCCCAGGATCTTGTATTTGCCAGTGGGTACTGTGGTCCAGCCTGATATGACTTGTACCCAGTCCTAGCACTTGCCTGCTGCTGTGGTGGCCTAGCCCAGCTGGCTCATACCCATTTTGGCTCTCATGCATGCCAGCAGGTGCCATCAGCCTATCCCAGCATGGCCAACCCTCAGACTAGCAAACTCCCAGTCGCAGCTCTCATGCTCACCAGTGGAAACAGCAGCTCAGCAAGGGAGTCCCCAAAGTTCCCCTACCAGGCTTGCTCCAAATCCAAGGTCTAGTGTGTGCCCTCTGGTGCTGCATCCCAATCTGAGGTGGCCCACCACCAGCCTTGGCATTCTCGAGTAGGTGCTATAGCCTGGCTGAGCTCAACCCACCCTCAGTCACAGCTCACGCTGCTGGGTGCAGCAGCCTAATGGCCCTCATGTTCTGGGGAGTGTTGCAATCCAACATGGCCTGGCTTGCACCCTATTATGGTTCTAACACTTGCTAGTGTGTGCCATGGATCTGGCTCACATGTACACCAATTATTTTAAAAGAGAGAGAGAGGGAAAAAATAATAAGCAACTATGCTGGCATACTGGTATAGTTAACACAATTTGACATTAATCATGTGCAGAATGCCTGCCAGCTATTCACTGCTTTTCTTCCAGCAGTATAACATGAGATTGAGTCTTTGAAGGGAATTGATACATATGAAATGCTACTAAGTAATATATAATATTTAAAAATGATTAAACATACTAAGCCCTAATGTCAAATGCTTTATTTAATAGAATATTTAGAATAATCTTACTATATGTATGTATTTATTATCATTCATATTCCCAGGTAAAAAAAAATTGTAACTCGGGCCTGGCAAGGTAACCTAGTGGCTAAAATCCTTACCTTACATATGCCAGGATCTATATGGGCATTGTTTTGTGTCCTGGAGGCCCTGATTCCCATCCAGTTCCCTGGCCTGGGAATGCAGTAGAGAATTATCCAAGCCTTGGGACCCTGCACCCATGCGGGAGACCCAGAAGAGTGTCCTGGCACCTTGGCTTTGGATCGGCTCAGCTGTAGCCATTGTGGCCACTTGGGAGAGTGAATCATCAGAGGGAAGATCTTCCTCTCTGTTTTTCCTACTTTCTGTATATCTGACTTTCCAATAAAAATAAATAGATCTTTTAAAAAGGAAAACCGTAACTGGAAACAGTTTTCCCTAGATCATGTGACACACGTTACAGGGGGTGCCATGAAGGGAGATACAGAAGTGGGCGTTTGGCACATTGGTGCTACAAGGGATGCCTGCAACTTGTGTGGGAATGTTTGAATTTGAGTGCTGCCTCTGCTTCCAGTGCTGTTTCCTGCTCATGTGTACCAAGGTTATTGAGAGCTCAAGGAGACTGCCCCTGTGGGAGATCTGACACAACCAACCATGTGGGAGACCTGGGTAGAGTTCCCAGCTGTTGGAGACATTCTTAAAGTAAACTGGTAGATAGAAGTGCTCTATCTCTCAAACACCAAAAAAAAAAAAAAAAAAAAAAAAAAAAAAAAAAAAAAAAAAGAGGTACATAAACTATTTTAGAAACACAAGCAAGGGCAAAGATTCTACAGAAGCAGACACTTACAGCATTTGTCAGCCCAATCAGCTGGAAAATTTTTTGAGTGACCACAGCCGTATCAGCACCCATGTGATTATACTGTAAAATAGAATTGCCTTTCAGAACTAAATAAGTACTAGTTAACATTTAATGACTGTTGTGCTTAAAATTTAAAATAGCAAAGTAAGGACTATTTCAATTTCTAGCATTTAAACTTTTAAACATTATTGTATCATTGCAGTGCAAATAATTTGATACTCACTATTACAAATGGAAAATAGAAAATAAAGCATAAAGACTACAGTACACAATTCCAGCACCAATTCATCAGTTAATAATAATAATTGTCCAAAGCAAATGTTAGTTTTAAAGTACAAGAGTTAAATGTTAGTATTTCTTTTGGTAAAGGTGAAATCTAAATTAGAAAGACTGCTGATTAAAGGAGCCATAAAAATATCAACTGTAGAATAAAAGCTCATAAGCTTTCTATGCTGTGTTTACATGTCAGTTGCAAAGACAGAACTTGGAAACTGAAACAGAAGAAACAATGGTTGATAAACCAGTGAGGCAACGTAGATCTGCTTCAAAACCTAAAATGCTCCAATGAACTACATCAGCTTCTCAGAAAGTAAGAGAAATCACCAGGTAGATTGTCTCAAATTTTGTTTAAGATATACTTCAGGCTGAAAAATGCCTAGATTGACTGTGAAAAACGATAATTGCCAAATGTTACATTCTGAATGCCTCTAGTCATATGGCATTTCAGAAGTAAGGAAAAAAGGAAATGGAGAACAGATTCGCCATTTTTTCAGGGAAAGGGAATGGAAGGAAGTGGGTATAACTTTAAAAAGCAACTCAATAGGTCTTGGCTGTGATGGTCTTCTTCTGTGTCATGATTGTTAATGTTGATATCCTGGCTGAACATTGTACATTATTTTAAGGTATTGCCAATCAGAAATTGGCTTACAGGCTACACGGGGTCTCTTGGCATTCCTATAGCTGCACATGAATATCTAATTGTCTTCGTATAAAAGTTAAAAATTAAAAAAATAAAGAACTAGAAAATTTCTACTTAGGACAAAGGAGAGAATAGAACAAATCAAAATGATAGGCATAAATACAGACATGTAAATGATGAATTAAGTAAGAATGGATTAAATAACCCAAGTAAATGTCTTTTTTGGGTAGACAAGCAAGAAGAATGAATTGCAGGAAGCATACTCTGTTTCCAAAGATATACATTTTTAAGAAATAAAACAATGGAAGAAAATACAGTACATAAGCAACAATGTAGGAACACTGAGATGTTAGGAAGCCTTGGATATTTATATCCAGAATAGAGCCAAAAAATTACACGAATTCTTCCGGAAAACAGCACGACACACTTTCTTAACTCATTGAATGAAGTCATAAAAAAGTAATAAAAAATCAAAATTCCATTGTGATATGTCTCATTGATACAAATGCCAAAAATTCTATGCAACATGCTAATAATTCAAATTATGCAAGTTATCAAAAGGATTACACATTATGACTAAGTGAGATTGACCCCTCAAACACAAAGCTGGTTTAACATGTAGAAACCAGTCAGCACAATACAGCATGCTGTAGTCCTGCTGCCTAATCCTATCTATAGGAACAGAAAATAAATACAAAACCTATTCATAATCAATCATTTAGAGACCAGGAATATTGAATAATTCCCTCAAGTCGATAAAAGGTTCCTATGAAAACTACACCAACAACATCCTAATTAATGGCAAAAAGACAAACAGTATCTCCTTTCCTCAGGAGTAAGATAATCACAATATGTTTTCTTGGCACTAATTCTATCCCTTTGAACACTTAATAAGGAAAAGAATTTCATGCATCCATTTGTTAAATAAGTTAAACTCTTTGTCAGTAGACAAAAATGTTTATACATAGAAAATCCTAAGAGCCATTAAAAAACTGTTAGAGCTAATAAGAAATGATATTAGCAAGTTGAGTTAAAAAAAATGGGCAAAGAACATGAACAGTCAGACATATGAAAAAATGGTCAGGTTCACTGCTCAACACAGAAATGAAAAAAAAAAACATAATGAGAATTCATTTCACCCCAGTAGAATGGCTATCATGTGAAAATCAAGAAATAATAAGTGCTGGGGAGGCTGTGTGGGAAATGGTGCTGTAATCCACTGTTGGTAGGAACTAAACTAGTGCAGCCATTATGGAAGACAGGGTGGAGATCTCTCAGTTACCTGAAAATAGATCTAGCATTTGACCCCGCCACCCCACAGAGTACAAAAAATGTAATCTGCAGGTGCAGGAGGAGTGATGTGCTGAGATTTTGATTATTGTATACAGCCTTTATTCATACTCAACAGGAACAGTAAGCTTTTTGCTTTGTTTGCATGTTCTGCTTTTATTTATTTATTTATTTATTTAGGTTCTTTGATCATTATTTTCTACTTGCCATGTGTTGATATATTTACCTAATGGAGTATTAAACTCCATAGTGAAATAAATAAATAAGTAAATGTATAAAAAATAGAAAGAGAATACATCTCAAAATAATGGATAGCTAAAGAAGTGATTTTTTTAATTTTTAAAAAAATTGTTTTATATAACATTATTTAGTCCTTTCAATAATTTTTTATAAGAATGATATTTTTATAAGAATAATACAAAATTCAACTTGATTCAGTTGGAGTTTGTAACTATTATTTTTTTTAATAGTCCATTACATTTTAAAACTTTTAACTGCTCATTGATAGATTTTCCAAGCTTGTCACATATATAAGATATTGTCAAAATATAAACAAAAATACAGATCAATGGCTCATTTCCATATGAAAATATACTCAACATTATTCTTCATTTGAGAAAAACGAGTTAAAACCATGCGATAGCAGTTCAGATCCACTAGACTGGCTGTTATACATGAAGACAAAAAACAAGTGCCAGCAATGAAGTAAAGGCATTGGGGCTCTTATGTATTGCTATTAACAATAAAATAGAGAGTTGAAATCTTTAAGTTAGGAGCTTTCCTACAAAGCAGAGGGAAAAAAAATGGATCAAAAAACAAGATTATTTTGTGAGCATTACATTTCATATAATTATAGTAAGGATTTACAAGATAATCTTGGAAGTCATAATCTTATCTTTTATTCCCAATACATACCATTACTTTCCTGTATATCAGAAAATGTTACTGTTGAGAAACTCTTATTTCTTTTTAAAATAAAATGATGATTACTAAAAATTGTTAAAGTTCTTGACCATATATAATGAGCTTTTATAAAAAATGTTAACTGTATCTGTAAACCACAATAATACTACACATTTTAGTTATTTTATTATTTACAAAATTAAGAATTAACATCTTGTATAAATGTAATTTCCCAGTTTAGTGCTGATAGTAATAATTTAAAATGCATCAAAGCACAGCAAATGCATAATCAGCATTAATTTTCCTGTGTCAAAAAATTCTTATCAGATTACTTTCATAACATTGTATTGCTAATATAAAGTTACATGAGACAAGCAACATACTTACCAGATTCTTTTCAACTACAATATGCATCTCTATATACTGAGAGTATTCATGTGGCTGAAAAATATCCACAAATTTTATGTCAAAATGGAAGGATTACTAAAGCATTATCAATGTATAACATTATTATCAATGAAAATGTTGAAATATCAGAGTTTACATAGAGCAATACAATCAGGTAACATAAACAAACCTAGATATCACAGAATTTTGTTCAGTGAATTCTTGAAGAAAATTTCTCTGCATGTAAGCAACCATTTTGATTTACTCAGAAAAAACATCTCTACCTTGTATAGTCTTGAGTAATTCATATTTGCTTCTCTGAAGACACACTGCCTTCAACTCCTCACTGCAAAGTATGTACAGCGCTATCAGTCTGGTGGTACTATTTTTATTTACTATGGAATATGAATTTGAGTATGATTGAAAGAGTCAGAAAACTTTCATGTTTTGGGGTCATGATTTCATTTGCTAGACAAGACTAGCCCTTTCTATCAGTCACCTCATATAAAGTTAAGACACAGAGGGGAAATATTAAGAACTGATGGACGGGGCTAGCATTGTGGCATAGCATGTAAAAACTGCTGTCCCCACCAGTTTGGGGAAGGGAGAAATTATATTACTTCCCATCCAGCTCCCCGCTCACCACCTGGGGAAAGGAAGCTGAAGGCAACCAAGTGTTCCAGTGGAGGACCTGGAAGACATTCCTTCCTCTTGGCTTTGCCCCAAGGTCCAGCCTTGGCTGTGGGGCCACCTGGGGAGTGAACTAGTGGATGGAAGATCTGTTTCTCCCACTCACAGTCACTCTAACTTTTAAACAAACAAACAAACAAATAAATACATCTTATGAAAGCAAGCAAGCAAGCAAGCAAGGAAGAAGACCTGACTTAGACCACAGGAATCTCAGGATGGGGATTCTGAGAGTGTTGTCGACCACTTGGAACTGAGGGGTTCAGTTAGACCCAAATGCCAAGCAGTTGCTGAGTTTGACTTTGACTTGACTTTCCCATCACCTAGGTTCTGCTAAAATGTGGGGATAATCATTTTGATATTCATCATTGAATGTCCTTCCTTCTAATGTATCCTGGGAAGCAGCAGGTAATGATTCATATACCCAGAACCTGTCATTCATGTTGGAGACCCACAGTTCTAGGTCCCTGGTTTTGGCATAGCCCGGGCCTGGCTGTTACAGGCCTTTGGGACTTGAACCAGTGGATGGAAGGTCAGTGTGTCTCTCTACCTGCCTCCACCCCATCCCTTCCCATACCTCTTGCTCTTTCATTTTCCCTTTATGTCTTCCTTGTCATTTATGCCGTGCTTGGACTGGCAGTTCTCATATTTGAGTTGATTCTTTTCTTTCCCCACTTTGCCTAAAAACATTAGGAACAACTGTTCCCTACTATAACTTTCTAAGGTTGTCATATACATGATCTTCTGGAACAGGACAAGTATGCCAAAAGTTTGAAACTCCATGCTTGGAATTTTGCAAAGTTGTGAAACTGGTTTTAAAGCTCCCAATGTCAGTTATAAAGTGTCTGGACATGCATTCATATTTCTGTAGGTATGTAAATAATATATTTATCAGAAAAATGAGTGTTTCTATTTCTGTAATATGCATAGGGCTCAATCACCTACCTGTATAGTTCGTATTTTGTGGGGCAGATCTCTGAAATCCACATCCTTCTCAGCATATAATGAAACACTAGCATTCTTGTGTTTTACTTGATAAACCACATGTTCAAAACCAATCAAAGATTCTAGGGGTTCAATTCCATAAGTAACGTTTTCAAACTGCAATATGCCCCTACAAATTTAAAGAGAAAAGAAGGGGAACAAATACAGTAATAATACATTGTTTAAAAATCACTTAAAGCTCATTTAAGTTTATAAAGGCTTCAGGATTATCATAAAGTTTTAATTTGAGGTGGTCAGGATCACTGAACAGCCACACACACTCATCAATAACATTTCATGGTCACTAAATCCATCTTAAGTGTAGAAGTAGATGCCATTACTAGAAATAATTTTCAAGTAAATATACCATTTTCTAATCAGTGAAATTATCTATAAAATATACAATATTTATTACAACCTGAGTCCGGTACATGTGCTAATGATCACCATGGAATTTGGATAACCTTCAACAAACCCTTGGTAGTAGCAAAAATTCTGAAAGATAAAGACACATTTATCATTGTAATTATTTATGTGACAGTATTTTTAAATACTGGAAACATTTACTCGAGTGCGTATGTAAATGGATCAAATATACATTGTTTCCAAACTCAAAAAGAGTAAGAATAATTTCTTGATTTTTTCCTAACATAAGTAAATCATTACATTTTCACTCACTAGGATAAGGCAAAACTCATCAAATTCACTTACACTGCTGGGAGGAAAGCAACCAATAGGTGGAGGGTATCCTGGGCTTGGTTAAAGCCAAATCTGTGCTAACTATACCAATGTGCCAGCATAGTTGCCTAGCCTCTTTTATTTATTAATTTATTTTCTCTTTTTCTAAACGTATGTGGAGGAGTGCTGGATCCTTGAGATCTGGGGGAAGGGGATCCTTACGTCCACCTGTGCAGTGGGTGCCTGGTTGTGAGCCCTTGGGGTAGGAAGTGTGGGTCCAGCCAGGATCGGGGTTGGGTGGTTTGGTGTGCCAATGGTGCCAGGTGAAGCCCACTGGCTGCCCAGCTGCATGCTTGTGGGGGCTTGGTGTGTGAGCTTGCAGGGAGTCTGGAGGGTGGCACAGGTGGGAGTTTAAGGGGACATGAGGGCTCACATCCAAGATTGGCGAGCTGACCATGCAATGTGTGCATCAGAGCTAGGCCTCCTCAGTGGAAAAGATAGAGCAGTGAACGGCAGGCTCAGATGCACACGGAGGATATGTCAGCCCACTGGGGTCTACAGAGCACATCTGGTAACACAGAAGAGGAAGAAGAGCAGAACAAATTGGACAACTACCCCCACCAAGCGATGACAGCAAATATCTGGGTGAACGGAGACTCTGGGGTTGACCATCTCAGCCAATGGATATTGGAAGGATTTTCTTATCCTTGGATTGGTGAGATTGATAGCATTTCAGAACTACCAAAATCACTTAAGTGGAACCCTTGGAACATGCTCCGTTCGAGGACCCTTGATTGATATCAGATAGTTGTTGCCCAATCTTAGCTACTGGGGGAGTACGAAGACTGGATGTGGCTTCTTTCCCGATCTCCCACCTTTTCCTGGATACAGGAGGAAGAAAAGGAAAATTTGGGAACAATGATCTCACCCACTTTCCCCTGGCCCAATCATTCCTACTATGATGATCTATGTAAACATTATCAAAAAATTAAAAATAATAATAACCTGAGTTACTATGCTTTTCAAAATGATTAGAGTGTAATGGTAGGGTAGCTTTATAAGCTTAACTACCTCACAGATACCACTCAAAAGTTCTAGGAAACATCTTTTCAATGTAGCATGTTATTTAACATGTCTTCTATTTTTTTTCCTGTTATTGATTTTGTTTCATGGCCTTTCATTTAAGGGGATATATAGTAACTGTGTAATAAACTATTACATCCAGATGTGAAGATACAGTGCAGTATGCATCTCTACTTCCAAATCAAAGATTTGGAATGAAACTGTTAAATATATCTTGACAAGAGGATGCTGGACTCTCTGTCATCATTGATACCTACAATGTCAGGATACACATGAATAGCAGAATGGTGGCCCTATGACTGTTTATGAATTATGCTATTGTAATAATATAGGGGAAATTAGTACAGGTGAAAGGAGGGGCTTTAGTAAGGGAGTAAGGAAAATCTCAGAGCCTATGGAACTGTATCATGAAATAATAATAAGAGAAAAAAAGATACTTTTTCTTTTTTTATTGGGAAGGCAGACTTACAAACATCAGGAGAGACAAAGATCTTTCATCCACTGATTCATTCATCAAATGGCTCCAACCGTTAAAGCTGAGCTAGGAGCTTCTTCCAAGTCTTCCATGTGAATTCAGGGTCCTTATGCTTTGGGCCATCCTCTGATGCCTTCTCAGGTCATAAGCAGGGAGTGGATGGGAAGTGGAGCAGCCAGGACATGCACCAGCACCCATAAGAGATGCTGGAGCTCCAGGACAGAGGATTAGCCTTATACTAGAGATCTATCTTTCCGAAGACTTTTGTCCCCTTCCTTCTAAATATGGCTTTTAATATCCAAGTTGATAACATTTCTAATTTTGTTAAGTAGTCAAAAAGTTATACATCAGCCTTCATTAAATGAGTTGATTGGGATAGTTATAAATAAATAAATACATAAATTCCACATAGAGTAAAATTTTCATGGTGAAATTAAAAAGCCTAAATTATTACTCATTTTCCACCGCTGGTATTTTTTCTTGTCTTTACCATTGTTGTTTCTTATAGCGTTTGGTATAGCTTGGTCAGTACTTTGTGCATACTTGGAAAGAATTTGTATGCTGTTGCTGTTGCATAGTCTTCATTAAATGTCATAAGGTCAAGTTAATCGATAATTCTGTTCAAATCACTGATACGCCTAGGGAGGGAGTCCTTTCTATTTCATAATTATTAGGAAACCAATATTTACATCTCCAACTATAATTGTGAGTCGTCTATTACCTCCTTTCATTTCTGTCTCCCATAGTGAGTTTTGCTTCTATGTGCATACACACTTTATTTTGTGACCCTAGTGATTTCCTTTGGAACCATGATACAAGGAGAGCCCAAGAAGTTCACCACATGATGAATGACTTAAACTTGTCCTGCTCTTACATGGGCAGCAAAGTCTGGCTAACTGATGGATCTTTTCCTTTGTAGATCAGCAGGCTAGAGATGAGAATAACTTTGTAGACTTTGTGAAAAATAAGTCATTTAATACATTTACCTGCTTTTAATTGAATAAACTTTATTTTTTCTTAGACTTAGAACTGGATTTTCAGTTTTAGCAAATGTAATTTTTCTGCCTGGTACTATGTTGGGGTTCAATAAATCCGTGTGAGACTACAAGGTGAGTGAGATGATTTCAATTTCTAGTCCAAGGGGTAACCTCTTGCCATAAGCAAGAAGCTCCCTGAACAAAATAATCATGGAGTTTTTATAGTAAGAGAATCAAAAGTTACATGACAGTGAGCAAGTACATGATTAGAGGCTAAAAGTGACAAAACAGAAATCATGTGATAGGAATTTACAATGTATAGACAGTGCAGACAGTAATAAAACAGCATGCCTCGAAGATAGCTTTCTCATAAATCCAAAAACTCCAAAGTTATCCCTATCTCCCGTCTGCCTCCTGGTCTTTCAGGAAAACAGAGCTTTGCTCACATGCAGGTGTCTCCTTGGAGATTCCAGACTTCCAGGAGTACAATCACATTTGCAATTAACCCTTTTAGTACTACATATTCATTACATTTGAGACCTACTTCAACCACCTAGACTTTCAGAATATTAATAAACTTTGTTTGCTTCAGCTTTTTAACTGCGTATTTAACTCTCACAGATGCCTCCAGGGAAACAGGAGGCAGAGCAGGTTTGGCAGATTGATGTAAAATCCAAGTGTGGAATCTTGTGGCCATCTGTGTTATGGTACCTCTCTGTCTTTGCTTCTCTTTCTTGTATATACATATGTGCATACAAGTTGCACATAAAACTTATGCATAAACTTTGCACAAATACTCATGTACTTACATTGACACATGTTTACCTACTATGCCAGGCAAAATGTAAAGCAATGACAATTTCTTCTGTTAAAATCTTCTCTTTAAAGTGTTTTTATTTCAAACCATTTGACTGATCTATTATAAAGAACGCAGGAATGCAAGTGAGAAAAACAACAGCTGGTAGGACAAAGTTAAAGCAAAAAGAAAAAAAGTGTTCCAGGCATGGGTAACTCCTACAAGCATACACGATTCTCTATTATATCTCTATTTCTCTATTTTTTTTTTTACAAAGCAAAGTGCAGGTATTATTAAATGAGTGTTCCAATATAAATCCTAAATGTCCATGCATTTCAACATCCTTGAACATACTTCAGAGAAAACTCTGGCTTTTCCTTTCCTTTCCAGACTTTGCTTTCATGACCCAAATCACAATTTCTAATTTTGAGGGTTTTGTAACATATCCAGCCCCACACTAACATAAGAAAAAATATATGTGTGTGTGTGTACATCATCATGAGACAAATGGCTTAGAAACATTATAATCATACTTACTTTGGCTACCCACCTGTTTAGCATTATTGACTCAGTATACGTCATCAGAAGCAAATGATTAATTTATGTCAAAACTGTCAAAATGTGATGTCAATTCTTTGTACTCTAAAACATCTGGACCCTAAATAAAGTGATCATAGAAACTCATATACGAGAGGTTTAAACAGGAAGTCCTAACATACCTGATAGTCTTGTTTAAGGTCTTTCATAATTCCTGTGGCATCATAACCATACACTCTAAAATCTTGAGGTAAAAATACTCTGCAAAATGAATATAGAAGGTATTTACTGGAAAAAAATTATTTCCTAAACTCTTATTTTGAGATTTATTTTACTCAGCATATGTCATATTTACTATGTGTACTAAATACATACCTTTCAATAACATATTTACTTTTAAATATATCTTTATATTTTAAACATATTTTACATATACATTTTAAAATTTACTTAGTATATATGTGGGTTGGTAGAGAGAATTTTGGTGTACAGAATTTTTTCACCTTTTTGGGTAAATTTCTCTGAATAGTGGAAAAAAAACTTAAGCAAAGAAAATACATGGAAACATCAGATTCTAAATATGTTACAAGATTAGAGTGGTCAAAACAGCATTGGTGCAGGAGTAAAAACAGATATATGGATAAAGGCAACAAAATAAATAAACAAAGCCCTGTGTCCATACTAGACTGCTCGGCAGCCAGTAACATATAATAGGGACAGAACAATTCTTTCAGAAAGTCATATTGAAATGATGTACACAAGATGAGGATAAAACCAGACCGTTATTTCACACCATATGCAAAAGTAAGCTCAGTGTGAGTTCAAGATTTAAAAACAAGGCCTGAAACAGTGAAAGAAAAAACAAAGACATTAGTCTGCTAAATCATTTTTTAAAATGTAAGTCCAAAAAGCAAAGGTAAGAAAACACAAACTATAAAAACTTATGTACAGCAAAGCAAATAGTAATGAAGACACAAGCTACAAAAAGCAGAGAAATATTTGCAAATGATGCACCTGATGCGTTGAAATCTAAAATATGTAAGGATCTCAAGCATCCTGATGGCATGAAAACAAGTAGCCCAATTAAACAGTAGGCAAAAGGTACAAATAAACTTCTCTCAAAAGCATACATACAAGTGGCTAATAGAAATACGAAAAATGCTCAGCATCACTGCTCATCAGTTAAACGCAAATTATCGGCACCTCATTCCTGTTAACAAAAAGACAAAAGGCAACAAGTGTTGAGAGAATAGGGAACCCTCAATCAGTATGAAAAACCAGAATATCCTCAAGAAATTAAAATATAACTACCATATTCTCCAACAATCCTACTTGTGAGTGTGCACTCAAGGAAAACAGTATGTCAGACCTCTACCAGCCATGTTCACTGCTGCTGTGTTCACAATTGACAAGATAAATGTGTTCACCAATTGATGAATGAACGAAATACTATAAACACACATACCACACAGGTATATATGTAATATTGAGCCTTTATAAAAGAAGGAAATTCTGTATTTTGGAAAACACAGATGAAGTCAGACGTTAAGTGGAACAAGCCAGGAATAGAAAGAAAAACACTATGCTATCACTTAGAAGCAAAAAAAAAAAAAAAAAAAAAAAAAATTCAAACTCATGGAAGCAGAGAGTGCAATGGTGGATGGAGGTAGGGGCTGGAGTTGGGAAACAATGAGATGGCGGCTAAAGGAGGTGAAAGTTCAGTTCAACAGGATCAAGTTTTGGAGATTACTGAACAGCATGATGATAGCAATAATGTAATATTCCTGAGAAAGCACCAAGGAATCAGAGCTTCAATATTCTCACCACAGAAAGATAAGACCTTTGGAGTAGTGGATATGCATTTTAGCTTCATTTTATCATCGTACAGTACATACATGTCCCAAAATATCTTTTTATAAATCATAAAGACATACAATCTTTGTGTGTATTATTATAATGTGAATTATATCTTTATACAGCTGGGGGAAAACAGGGTTAAAAGAAGATCCAGTAACAAGCAAAGACAAATAATTAAAAACACGTAATCTTTTAAGAATATATATATGTATGTATATATATTTTGAAAGGAAGATTTACAGGGACAGAAGGAGACACAGAAAGATTCTCTATGCACTGGTTCACTCCCCACATGGCTGCAACAGCTGGAGCTAGACAAGTCTGAAGCCAGGAGCCAGGAAGGAGCCTCTTCCAGATCTCCCACACAGGTGCAGGGTCCCAAGGCTTTGGGCCATCCTTGACTGCTTTCCCAGGCCACGAGTAGAGAGCTGGATGGGAAGTGGAGCAGCTGAGACAAACTGGTGGCCACATGGGATCCCAGCATTTGCAAGCGGATTAACCAATGAAGCCAGTGTGCCAGGCCTGAGGTTAGCTAATCTTTAATCGTAATCTATGTCCTTAAGACTGTCACAGGATTTATACACTCAAAAACTACAGTTATGGTTTTTTCTGTAACAGAATCAGATGTGATCTTTCAAATATAAGTTGAATGTAAGTGAAGTTGAAAACAAACCATATTTATGACTTCAAACAGAAAGGAAATTTTTAAAATTCGGCTCCATGAAATCTCTTGGATAGCCAAGTAGCAATCTGTTGCCACCATGAACGAGAAGGCTGGGAGCACACACTCTGCTCCTGGCTCTGGGTACTTACCCCACAGATGGAAAGTGCCTTTTAAAGCATCAGCTAAAGGACAACTCAACAGCTAGTAATCAGAAACATCTTCAAATGCAAAACAGTCACATTCTGAATCATGACAAACAATAACTATAAACGGAAGACAGCTGATAAAACAACGAACACCACCTACTTTTGCATTAGGTTCACTGTATATGTTTTGTCTTCAATTACAATGTTGTAGACCACCTGGCAGGAGAGCACATTTAAAAGGTTAAAAAGAAAAGAAGAAAAAAAAATTAGAAAGGCAAACCATTGTTCCACATGAATTACATTCTAAAACACACTTGTAAGAAAAAAGGGGCAAATGTAGAATTGAAGGTTGACTTACTTCAATGGAAGCTAATATTATTAGCTTTCATAGTGAGAATATTAATCAGGAGGCACAATTTGTGAAATTTACTACTTGCTAACTTTTGAATTTATCTAATAAAGCAGAATATGAAAACTGAATTATCTTTCATCCAATAATTGTGAATTCAAATAAAGAATGAGGACACTGAAGTCTCTGTTTAAGACAAAGTATAACAAAATAACTAAAAATGTGCATATAAATAAACATTTATTAATTTTTAAAAGTTTTCTCCAAGTTGGAAAGCATATTCATTGATCTATGTTATGAACATAGAAATTAAGAAATTGTGATCAATCAATGGACAACTGGAGCTTACAGATTTATTTGCAGACCTTTGATATCTGTAATTGGATTTTCCAGTTCAAGATTATGTCTGATATTCTCATTTATTAAGATCTTTATCTTCTTGTATCTGTTCAATGATGAGATTTTGTTCATCTTTGTTAGATTTATTCACATTTAGATTTTTGTAAGTATACTATATGACTTTTTAAAAGATTTTTTTTTTTATTGGAAAGACAGATTTTACAGAGAGGAGACACAGAGAGAAAGATCTTCAGTCTGTAGGTTCACTCCCCAAGTGGGTGCAATGGTCAGAGCTGAGCTGAAGCCAGGGGCCAGGAATTTCTTTCAGGTCTCCCATGTGAGTTCAGGGTCCCCAGGCTTTGGGCTGTCCTTGACTGTTTTTCCAGTCCACAAGCAGGGAGCTGGTTGGAAAATGGAGCAGCTGAGACATGAACTGGTGCCCATATGGGATCCCAGCGCATGCAAGGTGAGGATTTATCCAATGAGCCAGTAGTACATTTTTAAAATCTCATTTGAGTTTTTCTGTTTGCAAGATCTAGTTTCTAGAGAATTTACTGAATTATTGCATTAACTCTGATTTTCTCTAGGCTATTCTGGATTTTGTCTGTATGAGTATCGTCATTAATCTGCCAATAGCAGCAGTTTTATTTCTTTTCCAGTGACTTGTCTATTGTGCCATTTCCTCACTGCACTGCTTAGTTCTTCCAGAACAGTGATGGAATGCAAAAAGTGAGAGTGGGCATCCTTTGTCTCTTTCATTATCTCCAGAAAAAAAAAAAAGTTTTCACTACTTCAATTTTATGTACATTTAAGGCAATTCTAACTTTTTGGTTAGATACCCTGGATGATTATTCTTAACTATTATGCATTTTAGGCACACAAACATTAAAGAAAGTTATTAAAAAATATCATGAAATATTATGTTATGAAGACCTGTGTTAGAAAATAATATAACTACTGTAACTATCCTCCCCTTACGTCTACTCAGCATCCTCAATTTCAAGTTTATTGTTCCTATACCTATTTTTACATTCTAATTAATGATAGAGGTTTATTTACTTGTTGAAGATCTATTTATTCATCAAAGTCAAATACAAAGAGAGAGAGATGGACAGAGACAGAGAGAATGGTGAGTGCTTGACAAGAGCGATAGGTGGATTAGAAAAACGGCTTAGTGACCCAAGAGGAACAATCTAGAAGGTGGGACTTGGGGTGCTGATATCCAGTGTCACATATCATTACTCCCCACAGAACACTGTCAATCTTGATTCAGTTTCAAAGGTCTTTGGAAATAAAACAATGCAAATATAAAATGCAGCAAGAGTACTTGGCAGAAAAGCAGCTAATTTCTTGGGAATAAAACATTCACATGATCTTTACAATGAGAGTCGTGTTAGTGATTAATTACGTTGCTTTCAAATCCGTTGCTTGTTACTGAGCGTATTTTCTCTGGAACTGTAACTTGCACGTGTAATCTTTCAGAATCTGCAAAGTGCAAAACGGTTTATTAAGACAATGTCCATCACCTCTTGGCTCCTTCACTGTTTCCTCTCTAAATCCAGAATCTGTATTCTAAAGTCCACTTTCCAGTTTTTATCATTTCAAACACCTTCAGTGCCTCCTTTCTTTCTGGAATCACAAGCGTGTTTCCAGAGAAATAGGTAAACAGCTTTAGGAATGTTGCCCTATGCGAAGAATGTTATAACCCCGGGGCGATGGGCCCCAGGTACCAGTCACCTCAAGTCTCACACTCTTAACGATGGTCACAGCCCAGATGCTGAACTTGAACCTCCACAGCTCCAGAAATGCACTGTGGGTTCTGAAGCTCGCACCTTGGGGCGTCCAATGAAGCCATCTCGTCCCAGGAGAAGCAGGGACCCACCACGCCGTGGCCATCCAATGGGAATTTTCAATGTGGGCATGTGCCTGGGCCTGCACAGCTGGAACCTCCACACACAGGCCCACTCCTTCCCAGGGACCTCCCCAAGTTCAAGGCAAAGCAAGAAGCGAGCCAATGATCACAGAAGGTTAGGGGCGGAGGGTTTTTTTCTTGTTTGTTTGTTTTTTTTTTTTTTTTTTTTTTTTTTGCTTACCAGAGTCAATCCAGAACTCGCTGAGCCTGCTGAGCCCGCTAAGCAGAAAGAGGAAGCACAGCATGGCTTGGCACTGCGGATCCCAGACCGAGGAATGGCAGTTGGCAGAGTGGTGGGCAGTTGAGCTCGAGGCGAAAGCTCCCGGCCGCGTGCTCTAGCAGAGACAGGTGACTTGAAAGCCCAGCTGAGGCAAGAGGCAGCTGCGGAACGGTGCGCTGCTGAACCTGGGAAATCTTGGCCCCTAAACCTGTTGAAGGTGGAAGACTCAACTAGCTCTAACCCCCAAGGCCGTGAAAAAGAAAACGGGGAAGAAACACCAAATCACCTCCAAAACAGAACAGGAAAATCCATAAGCACTTTTAAAAAATGATTTATTTATTTTTATTGGAAAGGCAGACCAGATTTGTGGAGAGTCAGAAAAATCTTCCACTTTCTGGTTCATTTTCCAAATGGCCACAACTGCCAGAGCTGAGCTGATCCCATCCAAAGCCAGGAATCAGGAGCTTCTTCCTCATCTCCCACGCAGGTGCAAGGTCTCAATGGGTCATCGTTTACTTCTTTCCCAGACCATAGTCAGGGAGCTGACTGGAAGTGGAGCAGCCACGACATAGATCAGTGCCCATATGGGATCCTGGCACTTGCAAAGTGAGGGGCTTAGTCGTTGGGTCGGAGTGCCGAGCCCCATATGCACTTCTTAAGTGGACGATTAACTGAATATATATGTAGAGCCGGTAGGTGCAGTTGTACAGCTTGTTCAATAGTATGTGAAGAAGCCAGTGTGATTTTGCTGATTTAGATATAGGACTGTCCCCAGCTGCTCCTTGAAAGCCACCTTCTGTTTCTGAGCTTTTTGCCGATAGAACCTATCATGTCTGATGGGAGGTTTCTTCCGCCGTAATCCTAAGGTCCACTCACACCAATAGTCTTGGGTTGTTTCCTCATTCTTTTCCTTTTGTTCTCACGCGTGACTGAAAATAATATTTGTTTTACCATTGTCCTGGTGATGTGACTCTGTCGATAGTTTTAGCTGTTTAAAGTGATATGTGGCTGTGAGCAGTCTTATATAGATCTGTCGGTGTATGATCAGGAATTTCTGTTGGGCGTATTTTTGGAGTTCAGTTCTCAGATCACAGGGTATGTGCTCATCGGTACATTAAAAAGAAAGAAAGAAAATCTCAGCTTCTCTCTGTCAATGCCTACACTTGACAGCTTTTTTTTTTTTCCTTTGTGTTTTATGTTAGTCATTTTAATGGATCTGTGGAGGTCCTGTATTTCAGGTTTAGCTTGCACGTTCACAATGCGTAATGAACTTTAAAAGCAATGCAACCCACGTGTGATTTCTTCATTGGTTCTAATGATCGCAAATATCTCGTTTTCTGGATCTTGATGTTTTACTTTTAATTGACATATATAATCCACCATTTAAAAATTTTATCCTACATGTACTGAGAGTTTCATGATTTGTATTTTATCATGTCTGTGGAATTGTAGTAAATGCTTTCTCTGCATAGATGATAGAATTATCTTCCTCACTGTTAATACTACAAATTGAAATGCTAGACTTTCCAGTGTTGAAACAAGCTCTTTTTTCTTGCAATACATGCTGAGTGATAATACTACATTAGTGTTTTTACGTTTTGCTTGTTTGATTTGTTGTTATTTTGTTTAGAACGTTTGTATCTATTTTATTTATTTGTAATTTTCTTTTATTGTAATAAACTTGGCAGTTTTTTTTATCAGTAGCATGATGGCCCTGAAACAATTTATGAAATGTTAATCCTTCCTCTGATCTTTGAAGCAGAAATCAACATAACCTTGTGAATGTTGGTTTTTATTTCTATTTGTAAGTGACAATAACTCAGAGATCTTTCAGTCATTGGGCTAATTCTCAAAATAACCCGCAGCAGTTAGAGCTGGTCCTGGCCTGGAGCAAGGAACCTGCAGCAGTTAGAGCTGGGCCTGGCCTGCAGCAAGGAACCCGCAGCAGTTAGAGCTGGGCCTGGCCTGCAGCAAGGAACCCGCAGCAGTTAGAGCTGGGCCTGGCCTGCAGCAAGGAACCCGGATCCATCTGGTCTCCATGTGGCCAGCAGAGACCCTCTTTAATGCTGGTGTGCTTATTTTCATTGTCAATGCTGCCAATTTATGATTTTTCTCTTTATTCATAATAGTTCTGGAATTTATTATTTTATTGACACTTAAAAATGACTCAGCTTTGGTTTATGGATTTTTTAATATTATATGTGTGTTTTTTGTTTCATTTTCAATCTGTGTTCATTTTTTCCATGTAGGATACAATTTTGTTTTTAGTTTATAAGAATGGAAATTTGTTACTCATTTCAAACTTTTCTTCTTTCTAATATATGCTTTAAGAACATTAAATTTCTATTTCCTACTTTAACTTCATAACATTTGCATGAACTGTATTTTATATTCTTATGTTTCTTAAACATTTATCTCAAAATAATCTTAATTTTTAATCATGATTTCTCTGCCCTATTATATCTACCTGAAAGTTATTTAGAATCACACATTTCAGAGTGTTTTAATAGCTTTTCTCCTTATGGATATCTCATGCACTTCCCTTGAAGTTACATATTATATTCTGGATGATTTCAAGCCACTGCAGCTCTCTAAGAAATCTTAGACAGCGGAAGGGCCTGGTGCTGTGGCCTAGCAGCTAAGGTCCTTACCTTGAATGCGCCAGGATCCTATATGGGCACTGGTTCTAATCACGGCAGCACCACTTCCTATCGAGCTCCCTGCCTGTGGCCCGGGAAAGCAGTCCAGAACAGCACGAAGCCTTGGGACCCTGAACCCCCATGGGAGACCCAGAAGGAGCTCCTGACTTTGGATCAGCGCAGCTTCGGCTGCTGCAGTCACTTGGGGAGTGAATCATCAGACAGAAGATCTTCCTCTCTGCCTCTCCTTCTCTCTGTATATCTGACTCTGAGATAAAATAAATACATCTTTAAAAAAAGAAAAGACAGTGGATGGATGATTTCTCTCTCTGATTCTCTCTATACCTTTGCCTTTTTAAAACAGCATTTTATTTTTCCTTTTAAAAGAAGAATTATTTATTTTATTGGAAAGTGAGGTTTAAAGAAAGAAAAAAGTCACAGAGAAAGGTCTTCCATCCACTGGTTCATTTCTCAAGTGGCCGCATGACCGGAACTGAGCTGATCCGAAACCAGGAGCCAGGAGCTTCTTCCCAGTCTCCCACACGGGTGCTGGGTCCCGAGGCTTTGGGTCATCCTCTACTGCTTTCTCAGACAACAAGCAGGGATCTGGATGGGAATGGAGCCGATGGGTCACGAACCAGTGCCCATATGGGATCCTAGCATGTGCAAGGTGAGGATTTAGCCACTAGGCTACCATGCCCAGGCCATAACTTTGCCTTTCAAATAATAAAAATAAAATGAATCTTTCAGAAAAAGATATTTGATTTACTTGAATAATTATAACTTTTAGAAAAGATTTATTTATTATTTGAAAGACATTTTACAGAGAGACAGAGGACGAGAGAGAGAGGTCTTCTTTGCTGGTTCACTCCCCAAATGGCTGCTAAGGCCAGAGCTGAGCCAATCCAAAGTTAGGAGCCAAAAGCCTCCTCCAGGCCTTCTGTAAACATGCAGGAAGATGGTCTGGGCCATCCTCCACTGCTTTCCCAGGCTACAAGCAGATAATAGGATCAGAAGCTGAACAGCTAAGACATGAACTGGTGCCCATATGGGATGCTGGTGCTTGTAGGCAGGATAAGACTAGCCCCTATTATATTGTAGGTATGTCTCCCTTTCTTTATGCCCGTTAAAACTGCCCTTTAAAATTGGGTAAAATATATAGTAAATATAAATTTAATATGCCTGTTTGGGGTTCTATGCATTCCCCATGTTTGGGGAGAACTTATGGGACACTATAAAGTAAACCAAAACTCTCAGTGAAGGTATGACCATAGGAATATTTTAAGAGAAAGTGGAAGAGGGCATATTGAAAGAAATACATCTTTTCAAAATTTTGAAAGATATGTAAATATTCAAGTATAGAAAAATGGAAGATTATCCAATCAAGTCTAATCCAAAGAAGACTACAACCAGAATCTATTGTACACAAACTGGCAAAAATCCAAAGAAAATGGGATCTAGAGAATAACAAGAGGAAAGAAACATACCATATTAAAAACCAAACCAAATGAATTTACTGTTGCTGTCAACATATTTCTCAGATGAAACCTTTCAGGACAAAGTGAGTGTGGGATGACAGAAAGACCTGAACAACAAAATGCAGCCGGCAGGGCTGCTCTCTGAAGATGATGGACAGAGAAGAAAGCTGAGGGAGTTTACTGTCATCATTGCCTTTCGAGGAATGGCAAGGGCAGTTCCTCAGGTTGCAGCAAAGGCTGCTCACTGGCCACATGGAAACATAACCAAATATTAAGTTTGCGGTAAAAGTAGAACCACAGTCAAATTCAGGAGGCTTTAATACTGTGACAGGTGATGGCAGTGGGCAAACCACTCACAGCTTTAGTGTGAAGATTGAACTGTTGTGAAAACAAGTCTCAACAGTTGCTGAAAACACAAAAGGAGGTAAATTGTGGCATCAGTGACGTCGAATGTGGGAGGAAAGAGTAAAAACATGGTTTTTATATGTGATTGAAGTACACGGTATCAGCTTTAAATGAGCTATCTTAACAGCAGGATGTCCTACATAAGCCTCATGGTGACCACGTCCATAATTTTCTGTTTCTCAAACATGTTGGGGAGTGTGGGCATTCAAGAGCTTGTTCATTTCAATGAGGTTACCTGGGTTCCTGGCATGTATGTGGATGATGCATTATTGCTCTAATGTGGTGGGACTCGAGTTTCCCCTAAGGGATCTGTATGTGCATGTGGAGGGCTTGCTCCCAAGTGTGGCAGTGTCAGAGGCTGGCAGAGCCTTTAAGTGGAGAGTTGGGGAGTTCCAGCTCTGTCTACTCACTGTCCTCGGAAGGGCACTCATGTAACCTCTAGGCACTCCTGGAGAGGGGGTTATTGGAAAAGGAGTAGACCAGCTCCTCAACCCCTAAACTTCCAGGACAGCATGCTGTTTGGGCTCTCAGCCTCCAGAACTGTGGACTAAATAATCACTCCTTTGTAAGTCACACATTTTGTTACAGCAAAGCAACCCTATAGTTCTACAATTATGTTATAAGCCTTTTCCTTTTAAAAAATTTAATGTATTTTGAATGGCAGAGTTATAGAGAAGGAGTGAGGAAGAGAAAGAGAGAGAGAGAGAGAGAGAGAGAGAGAGAGAGAGAGAGAGAGAGAGAGAGAGAGAATCTTCTACTTTCTGGTTCACTTCTGAGATGCCTGCAATGGCCAAATGGCCAGGGCTGGGACAGGCTAAAGTATGGAACTTCATCAAGGTCTCCCACATGAGTACAGGGGCCCAAGCACTTGGACTATCTTCTATTGTTTTCCCAGGGAAATAGCAGGGAGCTGGATTGGATATGGAATAGGCAGGATCTGAACCAGTGCTCATAGCAAATGCCAGCATCATAGGTAGCAGCTTAACCCACTATACTATATAGCTGGTCCCTATAATCATTTTTTAAATTGGCAGCTATAACCCTGGTTTTAACAATTGGAGACCTCTTTTCAAAATTAGTCTAACAAAATATTTGTCAATTTCCTTTTACAAAGAAACAATTTGGGACTTTTTGATTTTAGTCTTTATTACTGTCTAATTCATTCATTATTCTTGTATTTATTTTTCTCTATTTCTGCTTGCCTTAGGCTTTGTTCTTCTTTTTTTTTGAGATTCTTAAATGGGATAATCAGAGTAGCTTTCTGTAGAAGTAGAACTCCCATCTAAAATGCTTGCAATTGAATGCAACAAAAATGTCAGTAGATTGGCAAAATGATGCCACTCCTAAAAATGAAAGCTATAAACATCTACAATAAGCATAAATACTTCATCAAGAATGCCAAAATAATTATTGTATTTGTGTTTAACATGCCAGAAAACCACCAATATCCCATTGGTATCTATCCAGGGAACCCCAGGGAACATCTGTAGCTGTCTAGAAGCTGAGTGTCTTCCCTTTCTAACTTGGTTTTGTCAGCTGACACATCAGTGGCCTCTGTAAGAGATCCACCAAGACTTGGAGCAGTGAAAACAGACATGAAAGTCGCTGTCTGTCTCACCCAGTAGAATGTCAAGAATCCAGAATTTAAAACAAATACAACCCATTCCTTTATGTACCCATTCCCCATCTGAGTTATTTGGCCAACAGCTACCAGGCATCCATAATAGGCCAAGCGAGTGCTGGTTTGGGCTTAGGGATCAATGATTGGGCAGGTGGCTTCCAATCCCAGGGGCCATGCCACAAGTGGAGATGATCACAACCGGTAGTCAGCATTCATTGGGAACTCCTATAATTGCCACATTACAGACTTGTAGCACTGTGGAGAGCTGACTCCTCTGAGTAGTAAGATGTGGTCATTTCCACCCAGTTCCTTTGCAAAAACCTTTGAGTGTGTAATCTGGTATTTTAAGTATGGCTTGCATGTAATTTGTGCCTTTAGTAATGCTGTAATCCTGATATAAACAATATAGAAAAGAGCCTAAAATCATAGTGTCATCAATCCCAAGAGATAGAAATAGCCTCCTTGCCCCCCTTGTCTAGTCTAACCTACTCCGCTTTTAATAAATAAGTACACATTCTCCTGGGAATTCTCTGAGTAATAAAGTGGACAGCTACTAAGCAACCTGTGACAGAATATGGCCGTGAGCTTGGCTGCGTTGGGGGTGGAAACACCATTCCACCGATAACGTGGATGGAAAGCAAGAACAGGGAACTGCCATGCATCTTTCTGCCAAGCCTCTATCTTTTAGCAGAGGAGACTATATTTACTCTCTATGCCCGCTGAAGTGATGAAATCTAAGTAACACTCTAGGCATTGTGAGCCCTCTCCAGTGGCTGCACTTGAAACAGCAGCTGAGACTCTCTCGACTTTTCCAATTCATCCCCTTGGTGGACATGACAGTGGCCACAGACTTGAGGCCATGGTTTCTCACAGAAGAGCAGGAAATGCAACACCTGGATACATTCATGTTGCCTTGCACAATCTCAGGACTTCTGGTCTGGCGCCCTTTCTGGCCTTCAGTCTGTCATTGGTTATTCTTCTGTTGAAAGGCTCTGAACTGGATTCATTGGAACGTTCTTCCCCAAGGCAGATTTGGGGGATTTCTGATAGTTTTGGAAATAACTTAATAGCAAATTGAAACTGAGCTAACAGGGAAAACGAGTTTGTCTGTGCCCCTTCTAGTGGAAGATGTTCTAATTCTTCTTGCCTTTCTTTGCACCGTCAGCTCTGTTACAAATGAGCTTGGATATAACCAGTCAGTAAAATAATGTTATGTGGTTTATACAGCCTCCTCCAGTCACATATTTGCCCTTTTCCCTAATTAATTAATTAAAATAAACAAATAAATTGAAAAGCATAGGGGGAGAGAGAGAGAGAAACCAGGAAGGGAGAAGCTCAGCCTTTGGAACCTATGTTAGCCTGAGTTTAGGCTCTGTCCTCGACCCACCAGTTGACACTGGCCGAGTGACTTGAAGCTGTTTTCCCACCTGTTAGACAGCAAGGGTCCTCTGGAAGCATCGGATGTGATATAAACCTTCAGGTAGTGCACAGAGGGGCTGTAGAGTGACAGCTTCCAACCCATCCAGCTGCCCTCTGGTGTTCTTCACACACAGATACACAAACACTTGTTCCCCAGCCAACTTGGGCTTATTGTACTTTGCGACTCAGCTTGTGGAGGGGAGAGTGCCTCATGAACAGGCTCCCCATCTGCAGAAATTGCAGCAAGGGAGGTGCAGATCATGTTTGGGAACAGGGAGATAAGGGGATGGCATCTCCTATAGCTGAGGACTTGGTGCAGGGGTCAGCAAGTGGAAGATTCCTGGAAAGGGTTCATGGCATGGGTGGAGGGTCAAGGACAACTCCTGGGCTGAGTGCAGTGCCTGAGCTTCTTGATGCGGAGATTAGATAGGCATTAGGAAGTGGACAGGTGCAAGGCTGGGCATGAGTAAGTGGCCACGCAGGCTGAAGTGCCTGGGGACAGTACAGGGGGCTCTCCCATATTCAGCATTCTACCCTATGTGGTTAGGAGGCTGCCGCTGAGGCCCACAGCACCACAGGAGACAGCTAGCCACAGGAGATGAGCTGCAAGGCAGCTGCTGGACTAATGAGGCTATGAACATTTAGCTGGAGCACAGGATTCCCTTCCTCAGTCTCACTAGCACATGTCCCAGCATGAAGGGTCTGCATGTGCATGTGAGCTGGTGCTGCTGAGTAAGCAAGGAGAAAGGGAGTGAAGCTGTGCCGGCTCGCAGCTCCTCTAACCGACCAACACAGAGTGCCTGTCCGGAAGTCCCTGGGACAGTCCTGGCCTGGATGACATGGTACCTTGGTGATCATGCACAGCAAGTCTCACAAGCACAGACAGCGCAGCTGTTCACTCCAATGAGGCTGCTTTCTAGAACAGCTACCCCGCCCTCCCCAGCGGCAGCAGCAGCAGCAGCAATGCAGCCATGTGAACTTTACTGAGAATAGGTTCCTTATCTCCATAAGAGGCTTCCAAGTGAATTGATTTTGGGTTGATCTAGTCAAGAGAATCACCATCCCTCCCCCTATTGCCTTCTGTCCCCACCCAGAACTCTCACACAGACATTATTCTCAGAGATAAATGGCCCACCAACACCCACAGAATCAGTTGCACATCAATTCATCCCATTTGATCCAGTGAAGGCAACCCCACTCTTGGTGGCAAGCCCCTTCAGGATAACATTGCTGCTTCCAGATGATGTACGTGTCACATGAGGTGGCCTCATCTGATTGGGGTGCTGCCAGGGCCAGCACACACCCTATATCTTCGAGACCACCTGAGGGCTTCTAGCATCAGCATCCAGCCACTCAATGAGGATCTGATTCACCTCGGAGGGCCTGGGGAGGAAACAGAAGGCCATCCATATGTCATCAGAACCCACTCACTCCCATGAAGATACAGGTGCATGAAGTGTAGGCCAAGCTGGATGAATGCTGGCTGGAAGAATACCAGCTAAGCCTTTGGGGAAGGGGTGCAGGGAGTCCCTCCTCCCTGGAGACTTCCCTCTACCCCAATCTTCTTACTTTTCCATCTGTGTCCAGTGTCCACAGTCCTTGATGTGTCCCCTTTTTAGGTGGGGGATCTGAAAGAAAATGGAGTGCAAGTGGGTCTGGTTGCAGCTAAGTGCATCAAGCAGCGAATGGTCCATGTACTTCTCCCCTGGCCACCTCCCCAACCCAAGGAGTGCTGCAATAATTAGGGAGGGTACCAGGGCTGGACAACGGAAGTACCTGTGAGGACTACTCTTAGCTGACTGCGTCGCACCTTATGAAACCCCATTCAGGGTCAGCGTTTCCACCACTCGCCCAAGGCCATGGTGGCTGGGTCTGGGCTGCCATCTCCTCTCTGGGCATCTGCCTGTGCTCTTTCCCAGGGTTCACCAAGGACTCTCCCACCCTGCTTCCCCCAGGCAGAGCCACTCCCTCACCCACTCCTCCATGTGCTTGGACATCTGAGGAACTAGCACAGGGTCCTTCTCGGCCGTCACCATCAGGGCAGGAATCAGGATCTGGGGAGGAAGAGCAGGCAGTTGGTGTGGCCAGTGCTCCTGGGTTCTCCCGCAAGCTAGTCCTGGGGGCAAGTTAGGGCCTCATTTCACACAATGTGGCTTTCCCACGAGAAACTCTCCTTGCAAAAAGTCAAGCACCACCGCAGGCCTGGCTGTTTCCACCAAGCATCATGGTGACCACAGGAGATGGCTAAAATGATAGATTCAGCAACATGGTATCCCCAAAGCCCTGCATGCTGCCTGGCACTCAGAATGAAACAAGGAGGCAAAATCTATCTCCTGAGATGGTTAACATGTGTGATGTAAATGGGACCTCCTTTACTCTCCCTGCATCTGCAGAGACTAGAGTCACATTTTCTGCTTGACAATGAAGACACAGACAGGGAGACAGACCTGTTTGTTGAAGAGGACACAGCAAGAGGCTGAACATCAACAGCTCCCTTGTGGTCAGGGGTTCCATCACCTGTTACCTCTGCGAGCTGCCATGGGCCACCGGCTGTCCCAGACATGGGCATGCTAACCCATGCTGTAGTTACCACCTGCACAGACCCCTGCTCTACCCCCAACACTCCAAGCGAAGCAGCAGCAAGAGGATACCACAGTGTGAAGTCACCCCAGAGAGAGTGTGCAGGAAGGCAGGGACTCTGACCGAGGGCCCCAGCAGGCAATGGCTCTCAAGACTGGAGGGTTGTGAGGAGAGTAAGACTACACTGCATGCAGCACTCACCTTCCGTCCTGCACCCTGGCAGCCCCACTGCCAGTTCCTGTCGATATTTCGGTACCAGTTTAGTGGGCCCCTAGGGAGACCAGAGTAAATACAAGGAGGCATTGAGTCAATGATGGTTCTGCTAACCTGGGGTTTTGTGTTTTTCTAAACTCAGAGACATCATTGGAAAAATGATTTTAAAAACCTTTTGTGCAAGGGAGAGCAACCTGAGCAATCCCACCTTGGAGCAGGCTGAGCATGGTTAAAGAGTAAGCCTCCTGACCCAAGGGGCATTCAAGCAGAAATCGACTGGGCCCACCCAAGGACCATGAGGGAGGAAAAGAGTCTGGCCACAGCTGCAAGGGCTGTACAGTGCCTGCCCACTGGCCTGAAACCAGACTTACCTGAAACCAGACTTCTGGAACTGCTGCACATAGAACTGGATGTCCTCCTCGGTGACAATCCTGCTCAGGCTGGGATTTTCTGGGGTCCCCACAAAAAGCCCTCCTGCAAAAAGCCACATGTAGGGGCCCGATTCGTTTCCTGACTACTCCACTTCTCATCCAGCTTCCTGTTTGTGGCCTGAGAAAGCAATATGGGGAGGGGGGGTAGTCTAAAGTCTTGGGACCCTACACCCACATGGGAAGCCTGGAAGAATCTCTTGGCTTCAGATCAGCCCAGCTCTGGCTGTTGCGACCATTTACGTAGTGAACCAGTCAATGGAAGATCTTTCCTTATTTCTTTCTCTCTGTAAATCTGATAATACTTTTCCAATAAAAATAAATAAATCTTAAAAAAAAAAAAAGCCACGCTTTGCTCTCCCACCCCTGACCCCAGTGTCTGCTTTTCCAGCCTGCCTTTTTACCTGATCTCCTGTCCTAGTGCTCTGTGAAGCCCCTTGGGTCTGAGAGCCAAGCCACTCACTTGCCTGTCTCATGTCCTCTTCTGCTCATTCCACACTGAGCTCACTTCCTCCTACCCATCCCTAACCTTGTGACCTCACTGTCATTCAGGAGCACAGAGCCTTGTGCACTGTGGGGTCTCAACTCCACATGCTGCAGTCACTCCTTACCGGGTGAAGCAGCATGCCCTTCCTGCAGGCAGGTGCTCCTGGCTCTGGGACAGGATGGCATCATCTCAGGCATGTGTCCTGCTGTATTCAGACCTTGCCAGCCTGAGGCTAACCTTTGTCTACACTGCTTAGCTAATCACTTCCCTTCTGAGATAGCATTACTGAGCCTTTTGCAGTTTTCACCAGAGAGTGTATGTTGTATTGTATCAGGAAGAAAGTCCAACCACTCTCCTGCCTCCCTCACACCCTGCTGCTGGGTTCCTGGTGGGGAATCCTATCCTGTCTTCAGAACACTGTATGTCCACACTCCCTGGTCTCCACTAGAGGAGGAGCTGTTTTGACAAGAGACAGTTCAGAGATAATGCAATTTCACAGGAGACCCTGGGGGCATTAACATTAGGCACCTGGATAGGGCTGGCTCACCATCTTAGATTCACCAAGACACAAAGCCTTGAAAGTACAGGATCCAGAACCCCTAGTTGTATATGTTGGGGTTCCAGCAGCAGTGGAATCAGGAGTCTCCATGTTGACAGGCCAACTCCCCTGATGTATGGTCTCCATGCCCCTCTAAGAACATATTTTCTGTCTCCCGCAACTTCCGTGTCTGGGGCTCTGGGGCTCCATGAGACTAGGCACTCCCCAAGGACAGAAATCCTGCTTTCTGCACCTGCAGATCATTGTAACTCAGCTCTTGTCTCAAAGCAAGTATGTGCTGAGAATGCTTGAGCAATGATTGCATAAAGGAATGGATGAGCAACTGAATTTTAGGAAAGTCTCTTACCCCTTTCACGAACTTTATTCACAGCAAGAAAACCCTGTTGGGAGAAGAGAACCAGAAAGGATGTCATGGGCAATATAAAAGAAATGCACTAGAATAGGTGACAGTCCAAGATGGTGTCACTCACACACTAACAAATGTAATGCATGCCAAGGAGCATGGGGCTTTCTTCCTGGTCTATGTAAAGCCAGGGCTCATAGCCAAAAGCCTCGGCCTTGGCTGCTCAGGGGGACTCGCAGAGCTTGGTAATGTAAAGACGTAGGTTTATCAACCAATGGAAACAAGAGATGCTATCCTATGATATGTGGGAAATTAGAAACAAGATATCCCATTCCCAAATGGCCATGATGGTGACAGCTTTTGGATGTGACTCTTCTCTGATTGAGGTATCAGTAGAGTGGGGACTTGATCAGCCTGACAAAGATAAGATGGCCTAATTGCTGATTTGCAGCCCCTGTACCACCCTGGGTAACCCTGCAGAGCAGCCCCTGCCTGCCCTCTTGCCAGCCCACGCTACCCACTCCTCACCTCTTCACTTGCTCTGAAGAAGCTTTTGAAAGTCCGACTCAGGTTCTGTTCCAGTTCAGCCTCGGCCACTCCCTAAGACATCAAGACAGTAAAAGGGACCCCTGAGAAATGCTGGGAACCATGCGACTTGCCCTGCAGGTTGAGAGCAATTCATTCTCCCCCTGTCCCCTCAAGACCAAGGGCCATCAGAATGGTATTCATTTGAGCTTTCATATTGAAACACAGTTTTTAAAAAGATTGAAACTCAAGATGCTAATAGCGGATAATGGGATTTATGAATGCTGTTTGCAAAATCCCTGTCATGAGAATATGTTACCTGAAATAATCCATTTAAAGGGATGAGGGAGGAGTTCATACAGGCATAGGTGGGGGGGGGGTGCAGGTGATAAGAAGAGAAAGAGCAATATAGGGATAATATTCCACTTATGCACTTTGGTTTTGCCATAGTAACTTCAAAATCCACATCATTCCACTTGGTCCCAACTTATTACAGACCATCAAACTAAATGTCTCCCTAAGGACAGGATAGCAAAAGGTTTCTGTGCTTTAAGAGCTGGGACACATATCCTGTGGTGACAAATTACCAGGTCCTGCTGCCTCACAGGAGTGTGATTATATTTAATTGCTGAATCTATTGTAGATTACAACAGGCCCTCAGCATTCTGGCTCCTGGCTGCTGGGCTGCACAGACGACAGAATACAGAGGCAGAGGGAGGACATTGCGTTGCATGCCTGCTGCTTACTCTTCCACCCCTTTTATCTTCCTTGCACTTTTGAATTTAACATTCACAAGACTTGTATCTACCGCAAAACACTGACCCCATAATGGGCTAAGGGGATGATTACTATAAAGGACTGCAAATGTCAGAAATGGTTTTGAATTTATATTTTGAATTTGGGCAGTGATATATATATATATAGATAGATAGATAGATATATAGATGTAGAGATAGATATAGATACATATATAGAGATACATATATAGATACAGACATAACAGTGATATAGAAGGTTTCAGATTTCCATTGTCATGTTAAACACAAACAATAAACAACTATAACTGCAGCTACAGCAAGATATTAAGGCATACGTCATATAAAAGGATGGAAATTAAGGAGAAGTTGACATATGGCGTCCCCTTAGTCTGCTCAATCCTCTCCCATACAAAGACTCCTTGGGGACCATGTTGGGGAGGGTCTGTACTATTTCTGGGTAGTTTCCCCTGATGAACAATTGCCTCGGGGACAGTTGACTGGCTCCTCTACATTATTTCTGGAACAGCTTTTGGACACTAGAGCTCTCAACTTCAGATCAGGGAGACTGGAGTAGAAGTGTCCTTTTATCTCCCAAGCCCATGGACAGGAGATCCTGCCATTAGACAGCTCTGAAGACCCTTGCCCCTCATCACCTGCTTCCTGCCCTTAGCTCCTGCCTTGCTGAAATGCTCCTAGATGGGAAGGTTTGGGTGGAAAGGAAGGCAGAAGAGAGAGAGATGATCCAGCCTCCAGTGAGTTGGAATTTATCCCTAACTCCAGAGACTTGGCTCTCATCCCATTCAATCCGACCACCAACTTCTGGACCATCAAGAAATTTCAGGACCTCTGTTTTCTACCCTGGTTTCTCTTAGCTCAGTGTGCCAACGGGGCCTGGTTATCTGTGGGGTTGATAGAGCAAGTCCAAGATCAAGATCCATAAGTGGCCAAAGAAACACTGGCAGCAGGCGCTGGTGGGGCTGGGGTAGGAAGAAAATGAGAAGTGGTTGTGTACTCTGGAGCTCCAGAAATAAACAAAGGGTGAGGGAAGAAAGGCAGTTCTGTGGAAGGTAAACAGAGGCTGTTGTGAATGACCATGAAGCTGAGAAGAGTGGGAGAGACCCAAGTATCAGCCTCTTGATTTTGATTAGAGCCCTGTTCCCTTCCCAATTCCCAGTGGTCACAGCAGCTGCCACTTAAGGGCCTAGACTCAACACTTTACTTCTGTCCTCAACACCAAGTATTTTGTCAGGTGGAGATGTACTTGGATGAAGCAAGTCCTCCAGGGAAAGGTTCTAGTCAGTCAGTCAGTCAGCCTTCGACTGGAATTCTGACTTCTAGTCCAGCAGAATGGAGCTGCTTGAGGTCATCTGTGATGGGGCAATCAATCTGGAATCATTCTCGATTACTTTTGATAGTGATTATAAAACTCAGGGATCACTGTCAAGCTCTTTTGCATACTGTCTGCCTCTGGTCCCATTGACTCCAAATAGGCCACTTTCTCACTGTCCCCATGCTGTTTTCTCTTACCACGGTATGGTTCCCTCTCCCACTTACGCAACTATTATGAGCAGACTTGTCTTCTACTTCATCATATCCTTGTGTTGAATCCCTAACCTGCAGTCCCCCAGATGTGACTGTGTTTGGAAATGGGTCCTACAAAGAGGTGACGGAGGTCATGACCCCATCAGGATGGCCCCCAATGCAATAGGACTGGTGTCCTTATGAGAAGGGGAAATCAGGACACACACACCCTCAGAAGATCGTGCAAGGACACAGGAAGCAGGTGACCATCTCTTTGGCCAAGGAGAGAGGTCTCAGAAGGAACCAATCCTGTGGATATATTAGTTTTGAACTTCCAGCCTCCAAAAGTATAAGAAAATGAACTTCAGTTATGAAAGCCTCAAGCTTTTATTATAGCAGCGGCAACAAACCAATACACTACCTAAATCATACCCACCCTTCAAAATCAAGATTCGGGCTAACAAAGAACATCTGGAGACAGATCAAGCTGAAGGAAGCTCATGGCTTCACACACACCTGGTGGGGTGAGGAGGCTGGAGGCTGGCCTCTGTGGAGAAGTGGACACATCAAACATTGGTGCCAATTGTTGCTGGAGGCTTTTTGGGTAAGTAAGAGGCATGCCTGCCTCAAAAGCTCCTCTTCCACAGGCACTACCTTCTAAAGCTGTTAGAGTAGAGTTACTGCTGGCATTGAATCTGGGATGACTGTGGTAGCTAGGTGAGAGATGTGGCAGGTGCCTCCCTGCTCCTTATTGATTCACTCCACCCATTCTTCTCTCTTTGGGATATGAAGGCCACAGATCCCACTCCCTCTGGCGTTACCTGGGAGTAAGACACCAGGGACAGAGCCCACCTCAGGAGAAGCAGCAAGTACCCTACATTGGAAGAGGAAACCCTGGCAGGAGACACTGACTCAAGATGCTGCTTTTATTGAATCTCAGTGAAGGGTAGTAGACATCCTCACTCAGGTGTCACCCACCATCAAGGGGGCACCTCAGAAAGCATATTTGTGGCAGGTGGGTTGGTACCTGCAAACCTGCCCTATTTGTAAACACACACCTAGGGGTCTGCTACAGGTCTTTTCAACCCTGGCTGCCATGATCACAAAGTTCACTTCTTGTTAATCTGAGATATCAGGTCCTGGTGAGAGTCCAAGAGCTTTTGCTGAGAAAAGAGGTGGGTTTCACAAATTGCTCAGCCCAAAACCCGAGGGAAAGCAACTCCAGGTAAGCTCTCCATCATGTCTGAGAAGCAGAAGCTGGCACAGCATCCCCCATTTCCTCCTTACCACCCAAACACACAGAAACCTGCCATCATGGAGAAAGAACCAACAGAAAGCTCTGTAGCCAGTTTCACCTGAGCCTATTTGTTACAGAATTCTGAACCAAAAGAACAGCAAATTAAAGTGGATGGAAACCAATCAACAGGGAGAAAGAGACAGGAAGAGGAAGAAGAGAAGTAACACTCACATCTCTGCCCCCAGGGCCCCACACTCACTGGCTCTTGGAAGTAGAGTTGGTAATCAAACACTGGGTTGGCTTTAATTCTCTCTATGGCAGGCACGCTGGGATCTGCAGGTATGAACGGAGTGTTCAAACTGGCCACTGCCCTGTGGGGAAAAGAGGCATCAAGACAGACATTCAGGACCTTGCCCTAAAACAGCTGCAGCTCAGAACAGAGCAAGAAAACTATGTGCAAGGTCTCAGGCTGGCAATAACCCAATGTTTTTGGCCCACTCAACCATTGCATTTCTTACCTACCTGCCTTAGGCAAAGACAGATACACACACAATCACCTGCACTATGGCAACCCTGATCAGAATATACAAACTTTTAAATTTCTAGTTTTCAACCTTGCATGTTTCTCTTTCCCTTCCTTCTTTCACTCATTGTGTCTTCTGTGTTGAGTATAAATCTGTGCTATATATTGGCAAAAGATGTAAAATAAATTACACTGACTCTTCTACAAGAGTTTACTATGCTATACAAAAGAAAGAGACAGCTACACACAGGAGCACAGTAGAAGACAGATTGTGATACACAACACCCTGAGAGTTCAGAGAAGACAGGGAACTTCTGGGTTTGGGCATCATGGAAGGCCCTGTAGACAACAGCATGGTTAAACTTGGTTTTAAAGGGCAAGGAGAGCTGGGGAGGGCAAATAATTCCAATGAGGGGGATATGATGAAGTAATACAAGCCATTTCTAGATGGGGGTAAAGCTTGAGGATTGCTAATGAAGAAGCATCTGTGGTTAGAGACCAAGCAGTTCCTGGAAGCTATTCAGGAAACAAAAAGAAGATATGCAGATGGGAGCCTAGATACATAGAGCTTGGAGTCTGGAATTAACATTGTAGAAAACCAAGAGGGTTTCTGAGGAGAGGGAAAGAGGGCTCAGGGTTACTTACAGTCAGGAAGACAAGAGGACATATGGACCAGGAGTAGGGATAGATTAGGGCAAGTGAAATGAGCAGGAAAAGGAGTAATGCGGCTGAGTCAAGTGCTAACAGAAATAAAACATGAGCCACACATACAATTTTATGCTTCTTATTAGCCCCAGGCAGACCAGCAAAGAGAAACAAGTCAGACTAAATTTAATATTTAACCTGACAGATCTATAATATTCATCATTTCAACATATAATCAACATTAAGTGGTGTTTTCCACACAATGTCTTGAAACTATGGCAAGCACTTTCCATTTGTGGCAATCTCAGTTGAGACAGACACATTGCGGGTGCTCAGGAGCCACAGGCATGCAGCTGATGGCTGCCACATGGGGAGGTGTGAATTAGGACAATAAATATATCAACAGCCATAGGGTTTAATATTATAATAGCAAGCCTGATCTAAGCATTATTTAAATCACAAGCCAAAAAAATCTAGATTTTACTAAGTATTTTGTAGAGTTTTCTTCCTAATTATCATGGCACAGAACTTATTTCACACATTTTGAAAAATGAGAGGGGCCCGGCCTGAGGTCCTAGTGGCTGAGGTCCTCGCCTTGTATCCACCGGAATCCCATGTGGGTGCTGATTTGTGTCCCGGTTGCTCTACTTCCCTTCCAGCTCCCTGCTTGTGGTCTGGGAAAACAGTAGAGGATGGCTCAAAGTCCTCGTGGGAGACTTGGGAGAAGCACCTGGCTCCTGGCTTCAGATTGGCTCAGCTCTGGTCATTGTGGCCACTTGGGGAATGAACTAGCAGATTGAAGATCATTCCCTTTGTATCTCTTTCTCTCTATATCTGCCTTTCCAACAAAGAGAGAGAGAGAGATGGAGAGAAAGAGAGAGAGAGAGAGAGAGGGAAAGAGGGAGAAAGAGCACATAAATACTACTGACAACTGCATTAAGATCACAACAAGTGGAACAATAGCCTCCTCTTGAGAGCAGAAAAGAAAAGCCACAAAGGCTATAATATGATATTCTTGGCCAGACAAGTGAAAAGCTCCTTAATTAAGTAAGCCTCCAGAGGTTATCTCAGTAGGAAATCAAACCAAGATGGAAAGAGAAGCATTGCACATCAAGGAGACCTCTCTCTCACACCACCATTTATTGTCTGGCTAAAAAGGTAAGAACCAGGGTTATTAATGGCAATCTTAAATAACCAAGGTGCCCAAGCACACACAGGCTGTGTTCTAGTGTGGGTGGACAGCCCTGGACATGGAGCTCGGCTTCCTCTTGTCCTCCTAGGATGGCAAAGCTTCCTGGATGAGAACAGATGTAGAAGCAGCCATTAAAGACCAGCGGTGGATGTTCAGTGAATCAGAACAAGATGAGGGAGTGGATGCCACAGCACGCTGAGGTGTCTTAATTACAACGTCTTCCTGGGCAGCACTTCATTTTGCCCACAGGTTAAATGTATTTTCACATCATTTTTATTTGCCAGAAAAGTAGAGGAATAGACACAGACACAGAGATCTCTCCACTGGTTCACACTGGTTTGGTCAGGCCAAAGCTGGGAGCCTAGAACTCCATCCAGTTCTCCCATGTAGGTGACAGAAACCCAGCTAGTTGAGCCACCATCCTTGTCTCCCAGGGTATTTATATTAGCATTGAACTGGAATGGGATGCAAAGAGGACACTGGACCTAGGTATTCTGACATGTTGTATCTCAAGCAACATCCCATACAGTATCTTAACTGCTGAACCAAATGCCTACCTCCCACATTAAATATTTTAAATTCTTGCTAGAGAGAAATTCAATTTAGCAAATTGTTATTTTACTTCCTTAAAAGTGAAGTCATACGTTTGTTGCTTAAGTATGTAATGCTGTAATAGTCTGTGGAATGACTCTCTGGTAGACCCCATTCTGATGAACTCACCTCCCACATCCTGTTTGAATGAGAGAAAAGGGGCAGGGCTAGGGAAATCAGTATAACAACAGTGCAAAAACTGTAAAAATAGTTTAGGAACCAATGATTCATTTCAGTTTTTTATATAATTGTACCATTTAAGTCAGGTTGGGGTTCTGCAAAGCTATCTGGTAGTTCCAGTCTTAGACACTTAGCCAAACAAGAGGTGACTGGGAGAGTAGGGAGATGTAGATGGCTGCTGGGGATGGTGTCACTTAACTTGCTAAGAAGGGAAGGCGGCAGTTCTAACTGCCTACCTCAGATGGAGTGTGCCCAAAATGACCCCTGCCCCTTGGGGGCAGCACCTGTCATTGAAAAACACTCTGGGACCCCTTGGAAGATGATGATGACGAAAGAAATGACAGTGCTCGTGACCTGTATGCCTGACATCTGCCCACACTGTGCAGTGGTATAGTGGGGTAGGAGTTCCTACTGCCATTCTATGGCTGAGAAGCCAAGGCCCAAGTCATGAAGTGATGGGTCACACAGTCTCGAGCAAAACTGAATGCGTACTCTGTGATGGTGACATCCCTGCCACCTCAGCCTCAACCTACAGAGGCAGCCACACTTTCCTGTACTGCTGCTTGTCGCACAGGCCTTTCATTACCTCTTGCCTCTTACTGGCACCTGGAATGGGCCCTGCCTCCTAAGTAGGACATGAGTTCATTAGGTAATCTATGTCAACAAATCACTGCCGGATAGAGGTCCGAGGAGTTACCCTCCTGGATTCCCTGCCTGCTTCTGAGGAACCATTCTCAAAGAAATGCAAGCCCAGTCTTGCCTGAGCCCTGGTTGCTGGTGGCTGACTTACCGTACTCTCTCGGGGTGGAAGAGAGCCATGTTCCACACCAGCATGCCGCCCCAGTCATGGCCAATGAACACAGCCTGAGGAATGCCCTGAGGAAGAAAGGAAACAAAGTGAGTGGGTCTCTGGAATGGGGGCTCAGAGCTACCATTAGGATCATCCAGCCCCAGTCCCAGAAACTCCTCCATCAACCATGCAGTGCCTTCTCTAAGCTTTCCTCAGACTTCCCCTCCACAGCTTCCCAGAGCCAACACTAGGGTCCGGCATTTTTCATTTCCTTAAAAGTCTGAGGCAGCTACCCACCTGTCCCTCTCTCCCTCACATCAAACTCCATTTCACCTTTTTTCAACCTTCTGGCTTAAAGGAAGTACAACTCCACTACCATGTTCAGCTTCCGCCGAGTGACTATGAGTTTAACGGCCCCTCTTTTGGGAGTTTTCCTCCCTTACTTAACAAGTTGTTCCAAGCATCTGTCATCCACTTTTCTGACAATGGTGATGACAGCCCCCTACCCTCAACATAGCATCTGCTGTGAACATCCCCAACCCACCCCCAGGCCCGAGCTAAGTAGCTACATTGATTATTTGGATTCCTTTCAACAGCAGTCAACACCCATTGGATCAGAGAAGACAGACCCTTGGTGACCAGATGAACTTCCAAAGGCCACACAGCCCATAAGGGACGGAGTGACAGTGCAGAGCCAGGTCCCCTGTTGTAGCAGTCACTGCATGAAAAGCAGCATCTTGACTCAGCTCTGTGCAGTGTTCAGTTTTCCCGCATCATCAAGCCTCTCATGATGGCCTACGGGGGAGTGGGGGACCTTTCTTCAGCCAGGGGCCAGTAGAACATTTATGAGACCATCTACAGGCCATACAAAATCATCACCTTAAAAATGAGCCTGCTAGGAGGCAGCACCATGAGTCAACTGGTTAACCCTCTACCTGCAAGTGCTTATATCCCATGGGCTCCAGTTCATGTCCCAGCTGCTCCATTTCCTATCCAGCTCCCTGTTTGCGGCCTGGGAAAGCAGTAGAGGGCAGTCCTAAGCCCTGGGATCCTACACCTATGTGGGAGACCCAGAAGAAGTTCCTAGGTCCTTCAATTCCAGCCTTTGTGACTATTTGGGAAGTGAAGCAGCAGATGGAAGATCTTTCTCACTATATTTCCTTCTCTGTAAATTTGCCTGATAAAAATAAACAAATCTTTAAAAAAAAAAAAAAAGCCTGCTGTAGGCATGCTGGATTTCCAGTCCTGCACATTCTAACCCAGGCATACCCAGTCAGCATAATTTTGAGGGGCTTCCACCCCTGCCTGGCTCCAAACATCTCCCACCCTAACTGCCTTTTCTTCAGTCCCTGCCCTACTGACTGCCCTGACAAACCCCTTGGAAAGGCTGCTGTTCACCAGTAATGGCTGTGTGTATGCATTTCCCTCTTACTCCACACTGATCTGCTGCAATATGCACCTTACCCCTGAAAGATCCCTCCCTTCCCTGACTTCTGGGGCACTCTGTGTTCCAGACAGAAAGAGATCTTCCATTCACTGGTTTATTCCCCCAAGTAGCCGCAACAGCCAGAGCTGGACAAAGCTCAAGTTAGGGACCTCGAACTCTGTCTAGTTCTCCCACATGGATGATGTGAGACCCACTTGGAATATCTTCTGACTGCTTTCCCAGGTACATCAGCAAGTAGCCGAATCAGAAGAGGAGCGGCTGGGACCCAAACTGGTATCCACATGTGATACTTGCATCCCAGGTGGAGGCTTTGCCTGCTATGCTCAGTGCCTGCAGATTCTTCACTGACTTTCACAATCCCAACCATGAAAAATGAGGTATCGATTTTAAATTCTTTTCAAAAATATACTTGAATTTTTTTTTCAGCGGGAGAGAGAAAAAGAGAGAGAGATGGAAAGACAGAGAGAAAGCTCCTGTCAACTGCTTCACTCCCCAAAAATACATGATGGGCTGAGGCCAGGCCAGGAGCCAGAGGTGACAGCCAAGCACTTAACCCAGGTCTGCATGTGGATATCAAAGACCCAGTCACTGCAACTGTCACCACTGCTTCTGGGGGTCTGTGTTGGCAGGAAGCAGGGAGCTGGAGCTGGGAGCTGAATCCAGGCACTATGATGTGGGATGTGGCATTTGAATCGGTATCTTAACTACTAGGACAAATGCCTACCCTGAAGGTGCTGGATTTTAGACTTGTCAGCTGAGAGATACTAACCTCTTCCTGACATGCAGGGTTCTGTTTCGTGGGTCAAAGCTAGCACAGGTACTTGCTGGGGCTTGGCTTTTTTATTTTAAGAAAACTTGCTCATCTCCACTTACCCTCAAATGTGCCTTCCCCTGCTGCCGTTGACTGCTATGACAGCTCACTCCATCAAAGACTCATACCTCTTTCTAACACCCTGGGCCAGGAAGGAATTCTTCAAGGAAATCATCACTTACCAACTTGTCCAGGAAGGTGACCATCTCCTGAGAAAGAAAACATAAACACCCATAAAATCAGGCACTGTTGCCACCCACCTCAGTGTGTCCAGATCCCAGGCGCTGTGTTTAGCTTTGCAAGGGGCCAAGTTGTATCCCCTTAAATCTCCTGTGTTGATGCTCTAACCACCAATACCGTGGGTAGTAAAGAGGTAGTTAAGAGTAAACTGGGGCTACAGGGGTGGTGGGTTGTGATCCAGTCCTTAGATGGAGGTTAAATGTTGCACATAGAGGGAAAACCACGTGGGACACAGGGTATCCATGAAGAGAAGCCTCAGGTGACACCAACCATGTCCACACCTTGATCTGGGGTTCCAGTTTCTAGAACTAGGAGAAAGTAAATTTCCATAATGGAAACCCCTACATAGGATTGGCTTTATTATGGCAGCCTCAACAAAGAAATGTAGGCTTCCAGGATTTCAGCAACCCTGGAGGCAACCACCTTCCCTTCCCAGCATCCTCCCAGCAAACACACAGATTCCTAACAGGTGCAGTGGACTCCTAACAGCTTCAGTGTGAGTCTGTGCTGTTCCTGGCGGGGCCATGCCCATGGTAGAACAGAAATCCCGGCTTTCCCCTGGAGAAAGGACAGGAAAACCAACTGGCTTGAACAGCTTGCCTGGGCTCTTTGCTTTTCTCTCTGGATGATGTGCTCACATCCTTGGCTCCCCAGAGATATTGCATTGTGATACATGGCTGTGGAGTTTGAATGAAGTGTCATCTGGAGTCAGGGCTTAGGTAGCCTTTGCACAAGGAGGCGGTAGCAGCATCCTGTTAGGGCTGGGCCCAGGGGAAAGCAGGATGACTGCATGACCACAACAGGTCCCTGTGGGAAAGAGTCTCTTCCACAGCTGTGTCTTTCTGCCTCAGTTCTCTCAGACTCCTCTCTCACCTGTTGACAGCTCCTTCCCTGTGTGCCTGTGTGCTGAGGCCTCTGTAGAGATATGTCAGGGAGTCTAGGATCAGCCACCTTCTCTTCCACGGGTGACACTCACGTGAGCTGCAGGAAGGAAGTGGTGCCTCCAGGCTTCAGAGGAGCAGGAGGCTCAGGCAGAACAAATGCAGCAGCCAGGATCACACACTGGTAGCAGGAGAGCTTGACTCACCCCAGGCCTAGCTGATGCCCACGTTTAAACCTATGTCGTCCCCACCCCACTCCTCTCCTCTTGTCTCCTTCCTTCCCTCCTCTCTTTTCCTTTTTTCTTTCCTCTCCATACTTTTATTCTTAAAAATAACCTCCAGTCTCTGTGCTCTTCCCCTCTCTGTTAACAGCTGAGAACTAATCCAGGTAAATTCTTTCCATCAGGAGTTGCTGAGGTTACTGCTGGTAAAAATACAGAGTTAAAAAGCACCTGCAATTCTATTTCTGCCTCTTCTAGAGATACCTCCTAAATGAAAGGAGAAGTCCTCCCCTGTGGGCAGACCTATTTTTTTGACTCTTCTAAATTAAACCAGAAGACAGAAATTCTAGGACTGCTGGAGGAGAGGCGAATAAGTTGAGAGTTTCCCTACAGCCTTTGTATTCTCTGCCCTGCAAGCATGTAGTAGCACTCGTCCTCTGACAGGGAAAATGAACAATGTGCACCCACTTTCATGGGAAGACACGTGACTTTCTACAAGCACGTAACCACTTCTTGGGGAAAGGGGCCTGACCAGTGTTCTAATTCCTCTAGTTATCCAAGCCCCATTCCTGCGCTAAAGTCTCAAGGGCCATGGTAAACCTCTCACTGTCCTCAATTAAAAAGGGAAGCTTCCTTTGGTTTTTTAAAAATGAGCCCACACTGATATTGGTGTGACTACTGTGTTAGCTATGTTCTTTTCCCCCAAAGAAAAGGAAATGATTACTGGATGTGCCTGGGAGTCTTTTTAACACACCCAAGATTCAGATTTTAAAGCTCTAAACCCTTCTTGGGACCGTATTTGGCTAGAGCCTTTACCTTAAAGTTAAGTGAGGGCATGCAGCTAGATCCTGATCTAATGGATGTGTTGCCTTTATGAGAAAAGACAGCAGAGAGCTAGCTCACTCACCCTGCATGTGAGCAGGACACCTGGCAAAGGAAATGAACGTCTCCAACGAGAAAAAGCCCAGGATCAGAGACCTTCACTGAGGAATTTCACCAAACTTGAAAGTGCTAGTGCCAAGTACAACTACAGACCAATCTCCCTATTGCACATATACACAAAAATTCTCAACAAAATACTATCAAATCCAATCCAACAGCACATCAAAAAGCATTATACATACTGTTTTGTTGAAGTAGTATTTAACTGAGGGATACAAGGATGATTCAACATATGCAAATCAATAAGCATGTTGGCTTAGGCAAACATTTTTTGTATATAGGATAGAGAGGGGTAACCACACAAGGTCCTTGCTGAGATCTTAACAGGATTTGGGGAGAGAGATATGGGCAAGATTGTGAGCACCAAGTGGGGGAGGCAAAACTTGGAAACTGAGGAAAGAGTAACAGCCCTGCTTAAAGACGAGCCACTGAGATGCTATAGCCTGTGTGTGTGGGGCTGGGGCTGGGGGAGTGGGGGGGTCACACCCATGGCAGGGAGCTTCAATCAAGGCTTTCACTTAGAGATGGAGGCTTGCTGAATTCTGGCAGCAGTGGCTGTGCTGCCTCTTTGCTGCCCAAGTGCCCCACCCACATTTTGCCTTGGCTTGAGGGCTGAATGGAGCATTGAGTCCCAGTTTCTCCTATCCAGTCTCCACCTCCACCTGCCAGTTCCAAGCAGAAGATGCCTTCTCCTAGATTGATGTGGATACCCTTCTTAGAACTCCCACTGCAGCCTGAAGGTCACACACTAGGTAGGTCTGACCAGCACGTGATTCACCAAAATGAAGTGATTTTTATAATTTCCAGATGTACCGGTAGAAAAGTAGAAACCCGAAGGGTTCAGATACATTCTATGTCCCATGAAGTGATGCTTTCAGGCAACTGCCTTAACCTCTCAGTGACCCGGAGTCCTCTTCCATCAAGGGCTTAGAATAGGACTTGAAACACACTTGATGCTTCCTACATGCTCACTGTCATTGAGCAACACCATTTCAGTTTCCAGGAATAATTTATAGCCCAATGCTGCCCAAGACTGCTCTCCCGGGGTTTCAATGAATATTCAGGCTTTCAGCCCAAATGAGAAACCCAAGATAATAAAAATGTTATCAATGTTACCCAAAGATCCTTCTTACCTTACATAACACTTCCATGGAATATTCTTCTATTTCTGTAATTAAAAAAATAGATGAAACACATTTGATTTACATGATTTAAATTTATCAACTTAAAGAGCCCCTTTGTCAAATAAATTTTAAACTCTTAGGCTCATATATCAATTATCTAGTTTGGTTTTATTGCGTCTGTTTTTGTCATATCCCTAAAATCATTCCTCTGATCAATATGAAGTGTTTTTGATGTTTTATTCCAATAGTTTGAAATCTTAGTCTTTAACTCATATGGATCAAGTTCTGTGTGCAGTGTGAGTCCCTGTTTCTCTCACCATTTGCTGAAGACACCATCCTTTCCCTAGCATACATTTCTGGTGGACTTGTCACAGATCAAATAACCTTACATGCATGGGTCCTTCCTAAGCCATCCATTCTGTCTTCCCGGCCCTATGTGTGACTCTTCATGTTTATATCATAGTGTCTAGTACACAGTACAAAGCCTGTACATTTGTAATATAGTTTGAGCTCAGTATGATGTCAAATGCCAACAGCTCTATTCTTCCATTTCAAGATTAATTTGTCTCTTCCTAGTCTTTTGTGGTTCCACAAGAACTAAAGAATTCCTTTGTCTATTCCTGAAAAAAAAAAAGTCCTAGAGATTTTGACAGAGATTGCATTGCCCTTGTAGATTGCTCTGAGGTGAATGGACATTCTAGTAACACTAGCATTGCCAGAAAGCAAAGACGGGAACAAAGAATGAAAACGAGAGAAAACAAAAGAAAAAAATGATCAGAGAAGTAACAAAAGAAACACTTCAATAACTGCATGGTAAACTTATCCAGTTCAGTGGGTGGAAAAGACTCACACCAGTGCATAATAACATTGTTATTATTAAGCATAATAGCAAGAGTTGAGAAAAAGAGCCTTAATGTGTCAATTGTAAGAGGGGAAAAAAACCCAGTGGTCACGTAGGAAAGCTCAGGGCTCAAAACAGCCTGGGACTTCTTAATAGCAACAGTGGAAGCTCAAAGAGAGTGGGGCAGAGGTTTCCAAGTCTCAAGGGAAAAGAATGTGCAACCTAACACCTACTGTCAAATGGTATGCAATCTGAAATGTGCAGGCAGGTGCTCTCAATGGGTAGGCTTAACATTAGGATTCATCGCACATATGATCTTTCCACAATAATTAACATATAAATTAATTCTTCCTAAATACATATATGTATATAATGTATTATGTTATAATTAGAATAAGACCATAATTCTCAGCTGATACAGGGCAGTTCGTTTTCATGTATTATTAATCATCTCTTTACTTCTGTGTACTAGTCTGAAAGTGAAATTGTACAAGTAAGTTATTCCTAGAAAATCCAGAGGACACTGCCATATAGTTGCACATTTTAATATTTAAAAAGCAAGCAGCAGGCATTTGGCTGAACTGTTAAGGTGCTTGCATCCCACGTCAGAGGCCTGGGCTCAGTGTCCAGCTCCGCCTCCTGCTTCAGCTCCCTGCTGATAAAGACATTGCGAGGCAGCAGTGCAGCAGGGATGTTCAAATACTTGGGTCCCTGCCGCCCACATGGGAAAGATGGTTGGAGTACCAAGCTCCCCAGGAAAGCACCCATCAGCCCTCAGGTAATCTCAGGATGCCCTGGGTATTTCACACTTGCCCTTGATTAGTGCCCCACAGGGAACCCTAGATACTGCATTAAGAATTTAACCTTATGAGTCGCCATATGATGCAGCTTCTTCTGGGTGCCTGTATCCCCAAGAAAGAAAGCAGGGACATTGCAGCCCTAGTCACAATAGCAAAAGGTGGAGGCAACAAAAGGGTCCATCAACAGGGAAGGGAAATGCTGAAACAGTGAGCAGCCATTACAAAGAAAGGTACAGCACATGCAACAATGTGGATGAATTTGATGTTATTATGTGGGTGGAAGAAGCCAATCATGAAAGAACAAACACTAAGATTCCACTCAGATGAAGTGCCTACAGAAGTCAAACTCATAGAGCAAGAAATCAGGGCAGTGATTGCAGTCATCTGGAGATGCACGGAGCACTCTGTGTCCATATGCACAGGAGGCTGCCTTGGGGTCATGAGACTTAGCATTGCCTTTGCTCACTCAGAATGTGGGAGCAGGGACAGCTGGGGCCCCAGAGGCACAGACGGGGGGCATGGCAGGACAGGAGGTATGCAGTCAGGCCCCGTTGGAGGATGGCCTACTCTGACCCTGGCCCAGGGAACACACAGGAGAGTTGCAGCCCTCAGTCAGGTAGAAGACACAGCCGTGTGAGCAGGCTGCAGGACAATCAACCCACCAGGAGGGGCCGACGAATCTCCATAGCCCTTCATGTCCACAGCAAGAACCCGGTAACCTGCCTGGGCCAGAGCAGGGATCTGGAAAAGAAACAGGTCAGACCCACTCATGTGATCTCCTGACTGTTTGGCGGACTGCTACGTCCTGTGAACAGGACAGTCCAAAGTGCTGATCCAAAGTGCTCAGTCCAAAGTGCCGGTGATGCTGTCTGATGGCCTCACTGTGGGACTGCTGGACCTACCTGGAAATGGCGGCCACAGACAGTGGTGAGGTGAGTGCACTGCATAAATGCCATACTAGGCAGCACTTCACCCAGTAAGATCCTTGTGGACATCTCTGTTCTGTGTCAAGCTTTCCCAGCAGGTGATGTGGAGTCTGCTCTTTCCTAGTGCACACAAGTCCCCCTAGAGTCAGCATGGCCTTGGGGTCTACAGCATTCTCCACTCCCATATTCCTGAAGCTTCACTCCCTCTCTATGGATGACACCCATACCATAAGGTTCCACCTTCTCTGCTGCCCCTCCCCCAGGCTGGGCCACCCCTGCTGGACTTCCCCTCCTTTTGCTCTGACTTGAGTGCACCTTCCCCACAGTGCCTTACCTGGTACCTCCAAGAGAACCAGCTCTCAGGAAACCCATGGCAGAGGCACACGGCAGGACCCGAGCCTAGCTCCACAAAATGCAAGCGGACCCCAGGCTGTGGGAGAAAAGGGAGCAGGCAGCAAGGTGGCTCACCAGGACTAGGTACCACTTCTATAGGTGGCCAAACCCAGTCTCCCTCTGAGCACAGCTGCATCTCCCCCACAGGCTGCCTTCCTAGCTCAAGACCCCGTGGTCAGATGAAGATGGAAGAGAGAAGGAGCTGGCCCAGCTGTGCTGGGAACCTAGGCATTTATATATTTTTTTTGCTGTAACAGAAACCAGGAAAGAAGGTGAGGGGAGACCGGAAGTGTTCAGGTGCCATCAGAGTTTTCGGGAGCGCTGTGATGGGCTCTCAGTGTTGTGCAACGTATCCCTTCCTGGGCTCAGCTATGGCTGTGTTCTTCTCTTTTCCTGGCATGCAGGTGGCATCCTCCAGACACCACCTCCTCCCTCATTATTGCTGCGGGCAGGGGACTGAGTCCTGGTCAGTAGCTTATTAACGAAAGAAATGTGTGCTCTGCTCAGGACTCAGATAAATCTGAGATGATTTGCCACTGTTCCCTAAAAACATGTCGAAACTTAATCCTCAGTATACCCACGTGTGAGTCTTGAAGGCTCTCTTGTCATGAATGGATTGTTTCAGGAGCAGGTTTGTGAGTGCATTAGGAGGTCTGCATCAAAAGCCAGCTGGGGCACTTCCTGCCCTCTCCCTCTCCTTTGTTCGTCTTTCTGCCTCCAACATGGGATAATGCAGCCAGAAGACCCTTACCTGATGCTAGCCCCTTGACCGGACATTTTAGTTCCCAGAATCCCAAGGAATGCCTTTCTTTTGTTTCTTAATTCCCCAGTTTGTGGCATTCTGTCAAAGCCACACCAAATGAACTGGGAGCTCTGGTGCTCAGCCGTCTGCTGTCCCATCTGCACCTGACTGCACTGGGCAGCAGCAAGCAGAGGCCGGGGTGTGATGAGAGGGCTAGCACATGGCACTGTGATTTAGGCATGATACACACTTGATGTGAACACATCCTCCCATACACTTTAAACCATCTCTAGATGACCTACAAGACTAATATACCGGAATGCAATGGGCATGCTTGAGCTACTGTATTGTTTAGAGAGAGGGTCAGTAGCTGTAGCTGCCCATTTTTCCCTCTCATTTTAAAAACTGTATTCATTTACAAGACAAAGAGGAAGTGAGACAGAGAGCTCCCACCCATGTTTCACTCCCCAAATGCTCCCAACAGCCCGGACTTGGCCAGACCAAAGCTGGGAACAAGGAGCTCAATCCAGGTAGTGGCAGGAACCGCAATCACTTGAGTCATCGCTGCTGCCTCTCAAGGTCTGCATTAGCAGGAAGCTGGAATTGGAAGCCACAGGTAAGCTGGACCCCAGGCAGTGCAAGGTAGGATTCTTGCAGCCTATAACTAGCATGGCTTACACCACCAGGCTGAATGCCCACTGCCAACCCAGATATTGCAATATGTGATTGGCTGAATTCGTGGAGACAGAACCAATGATATGGAAGGCCATCTGGACTCACCTTTATAGGCACGTAGCCATGGCTCACGTCACTCACACTGCAGGGGGCTGGCAGAGGGGTAGCCGTGTGGAGAAGCTGGAAGCACAAAATGTCCAGTGAAACAACAGCAGGTCCCTTTCCCAAGTTCTCAGGGTGGGTGTGCAAACTCCAGAAGAAAGCTCCGAGGTGACTTTGGCCACTGCTGAATTTGCCTCCCTCTCAGTCAGACCTTAAAACAATGGTTTGTCTGCCAGATGGGGGTCCCCATGAGACTGTATGAGCAAAGCCCTTGACTGCTACCAATGGTGCGTCGCAGAAGCCAGAAAGAAGCATTGAGATACTAGACGTTCATAGAACTCTTCCCTGCAGCAGTTCCTCAATTGGTCCCCCAAGCAGATGCTGGCACCAGCAAAGTCTCAGCCATCCTGTCAATGTGCACCTCCACTGAAAGGCTTCTCCCTGCTGTTGACTAAAAATAAAAAGCTACATCCACACCTTTGCTGGAGTCAGCTCACGCTGCCACAGCCATGTACCAGCAGCCAGGAGGCTTCAATCAAATATTTACTTCCTCACACTCTGGAGGCTGGAAGTCCACAATCAAAGTGGTCAGCAGGGTGAATGCCTCTGAGCTTGCTGGTGGCCGTCTCATCCCCTGCCCTCACATGGTCCTGTCTCTGTGCCTGGGCATGCTTTCATCTCGGCTTGCAAGGACACCAACCCAGGTGCACATGGGCCTCACCCTGCTGCACTTGAACTTTAGCATCTCCCTAAAGGCTCTGCATCCAGATGCAGGTGTATTCTGAAGAACCAGGGGTTAAGGCTTCAACACAATCTTGTCCATAACAGACTCTGGCCCACAGGTGTCTGCCCGGTCCTGTGGAGTCACATGCATCTTCCACGAACCTTGTCTCTGGACAAGGTCAAGGTGAACAAGAAAATTCCTAAGGAACAAGTCTTTAAGGATGACTCCTGTAACCTGCTGGATTGATTTCTGTGAGGACACGACCCTGAGCTCATGGGAGAGGATGTTTCATGGTGTCTGAGCCCAGCTCCTGGACATGCAGAGACTCCAGCTGCTCTGCTCAGCATTCTCAGCCCAGGTGTACAACCTGAGAAAGAAGTGCCCGTCTTAGTGACCCCGCTTTCTGACCCCTAAAATGGAGACACAAAATCTGCCTGGCTCTTAGACAGGGATCAGTCCATCTGGACATCCCCCAAAGAGAAAATAGAATGTGAGGCCACAACATCTTTGGTGTCTGAGAGGGACCAGTGTGGTGGTGGTAGTGGTGGTGGTCATGGTTGTGCTGGTGATGGTGGTGGTAATGATAGTGATGGTGGTGATTGTGCTGGTGATGGTGGTGGTGCTGCTGCTGGTGGTAGTGGTGGTGGTGGTAGTGGTGATGGTGGTGGTGCTGGTGCTGCTGCTGGTGATGGTGGTGGTGGTGCTGCTGCTGGTGGTAGTGGTGGTGGTGGTAGTGATGGTAGTGGTGGTGGTGGTGATGGTGATGGTGATGGCGATGTTGTGGTGGTGGTATTGGTGTTGTGGTGATGGTGGTGGTGATGGTGGTGCTGGTGATGGAGGTGATGGTGGTGGTGGTGATGGTGATGGCGATGTGGTAGTGGTAGTAGTGGTGATGGTGGTGGTGGTGGTGGTGATTGTAGTGGTGATGGTGGTGGTGGTGATGGTGGTAGTGATGGTGGTGGTGGTGGTAGTGGTGAACTCCCACCTACAGACCCCCAGAATCCTGGCTGTGCAAGACACACCACACTCACGGAGCTCTTCTCCCTTGCTGTACACCGGCACTGCTGGGCAGCACACCTCTGCTCACACAGAAAGTTACCTGTACCCCGGTGACCTTCTCCAGCTCCCCCAGGGCTGCATCAGTGTCACGGGCAAGGATGGTGACCATCCCCAGATCACGGGCTGGCTTCAGGTTACTCCCAAAGTCATCTAAGAAGACAACCTGAACCCAAAACAGCATGGATACAGTATTACTCACCCAAAGAAAATCTCCAGTACTACGGAAAATACCAACAAGAGACATGTTCAAACACAAATGCCTCATGACAAGTAGAATAGCAGCTTTGTTAATCTAGAAATGTAAAACATCTAACTGCGTAAACATACAGGTGAACATACCCTCACACATCCAACTAGTTCCGATCAATCCTAAAACTGCAAGAAGACTTGGGGCTAGCGTGGATATGAACTTGTCAAGACAACATGAACATCCCCCTGAAAAAATCATCCGGAATGAACAGACACATCTGGGAAAATGTCATGGGGACAGATAAGAAAGAAAGCTTAAAGCAACAAAAGGGAGATGGCATAGGACTTGAAAAGAAATAGACACATCTATGAGATACACAAGTCCAGAAATAGATATAAGCACAAATTAGGATTTAGTGTCTAATAAAAGTGCCATGTCCATTAGGAGAGGATGGTGTTGGCATGACTGGTTAACAGGAAAAAAAGTGGATCCAGACTTCGCATCTCACCCCAAAATAAATTCTGAATGGATCAAAGACTGTAAAAAAGATTTTTTAAGGCCTTGAACATCATTGAAAAAAGCATGGGTACATTTATTTATAACCCTGAACAGGGTGGCCTAGAATGCATTCTTTTTGTAGAAAAAAAAAGATTTATTTATTTATTTTAAAGGTAGAGATATGGAAAGAGAGGGAGAGGAGAGAAAAACACAGAAAGAGAGAGATCTTCCATCTAATAGTTCAGTCTCCAAATGGCCATAATGGCTGGGGCTGGACCAGCCCAAGTCCAGGAGCTAGAAGTTTCTTCCTAGATCTGCTATACCAATAAACTTGGGCTATTTTCCAGTGCTTTTCCAGGCCACTAGCATGGAGCTGGATGGAAGTGGAGCAGCCAGGACTCAAACTAGAACCCTTAGGAGATACTGGGGGTCATAGGCCATGGCTTTACCTGCTACAAGGGTGGCTTAAAATTCTGTGCAGCTTATTCACTCTAAAATTCATGGTGGGAAGATAGACACATGAGTATGTTTAAACCTAAAGCTGATCCCAAATACATATGGAATGGGCAGAGGCTTGGGGAGGGGCACAGACCTGGGGGAGCACAGCAAGGACTCCCAAAGCCAGGAACGTGGTTGGTTCTGCTTGCCCTGTGGATGGGCCAGGGCTAGCGAGAGCAGGTAGAAATGGGAGGAAGGGGAGATTCATCTTGCAGCAACCTCTTCTGAAGATGCCAGCAGGGGCACACAGTATGCATGGTGTTTTAGGATAGGCAATCTCTGAGCAAGTGTGACTCAAAGGCTTGAAGTGGGTGAGGGTTCCCAGTAGGAGGCTATGGTACAACGGAAGCCCATCCCACTCATCCTTTGTTAGGGGACCCAGGCGGACTTTGAGGCCATTGCAAAACATTCCAAGGTCTCTGATTCTTCATAAGTCAGCTGAGGCAACAAGCCTAATCCTTTTGATAATGATGACTAATTTGATGAAAGTCCTATGAGAGCCATTCCAATGGGCCACATGTGACTCTCTGGTAGAACTTCCTAGACTGGGGGATAAATAAAAGTCATGGCTGAGAGAAGCAGACCCAGAACTGTGCTGCCAGGCCACCTGCTCACTCCCTTATTTTTCTTTGGTTGCAGTACTCTGAGACCTTCTTCTACCCTTGCCAATCACTCCAACGTACCTCACTGGGTCTGGCTTTCAGGGTGTCCAACAGCAGCTTGTAGATCTGAGGTTCGGGCTTTGCCATCCCAACCTGACATGACTCGACCAGGACATCAAAGTGTGGGCGCAACTCACACATCATCCGGGCCAGGTTGTCTCTCTCAGGGCTATCTTCCAGCCAGTTGTTGGTAAGGATGCAGGTTTTGAATCCTGAGCAAAAAATCCATGATAAACATGCAGGCAGCTCCATTCTACCCTCCCACGCTCCAGATATCCTATGGGGCCCCAACAATGGGGTTGAGTAGGTTCTGGCTTATTTGCATTCAAATATAACCTGCCCTCAATGAGCAAGTTGGAAAGATATTATCTTTCCCTGTACTGCATCTGCTGACAGTGATCTTGGAGTATTTGTGTACATGAACAGCTTTCAGAAGCCCAGAAGGAGAAACTCCCAGTCCCTTGTAGAGCAGTGTTTTGACAACTTACCAGCTCCTTTGGTTCTTCCCAGCCATGAGTTAGGCAGAGATAACTGCACCATCCCATAGTTACAGATGAGCAAGCCAAAGTTCAAAGTTACAAACTAACCAGAGCTACTTATGGAGGTCCAAAGTTCCATCTGGGCTGTGCTATTGCAAACATGCGTTAGTCCTATTTCCAAACCCTTGCCTTGGCTATCTGCAATCGCATTACGAAACCAGGCAAATACAGATACCATTATCTCTGGCCTTTTTAAAATGTGAGATTGATTTATTTGAAAGACAGAGTGACACAAAGAGAGTGAAAGATAGAGACCTTTGATTTGCTGGTTTACTTCCCAAATGGCTACAACAGCCATGGCTGAGACAAGCTAAACCTAGGAGCTGGGAATTCCAGCCAGTCTCCCATGTGAGCTGCAGTGGTCCAAGACTTGGTCATTGTCTGTTGCCTTCCCAAGCACATTAGCAACAGATGTAGCCAGAGCTGCTACTCATCTAGAACTTGAGCAAGACACTCTAGGAAAGGATGCCGTTGTCACAACTCACAGCTTAACCCACTGTGCCACAATGCCAGCCCCTATCCCCTGGCTTTATCTGCCCCATTAGTGAAGGTGAGGACTGGGTAATGCTGGAAATGGGGCATGACGGAGTTGATAGTGATCCCTTCTCATGTGGGAAGAACTTACGGGCTTGGGAAGGTTCTACGCTTTTGAATCTAAGTCTCCCCAAAATGTATGTTATAAACTTGATCACCAAGGTAGCACCCTTGGGAGATGGGAACCAAAGGAAGATGATCAGGCTCTACAAGTATCACTCACAGGGTAGATGAATGCAAGTTATGACAAGAGTTGAGGCTGCAGTTAGAGCTGTTGTTTTCTCATGCATTCACCCTTCTTTGTTATTGTGCCTTCTATCATGGCATGACATAGCACGCAGGCCCTTGGCACACACAGTTCCTTCCATCCTGAATTTCCCAGCCTCCAGAACTATAAGAAACCAATCTGTGCTCTTCAGAAATCACTGAGGCTCAGGTAATCTGTGATGGTAACACCCAATCAACTAATACAGAGAACAGGTACTGAAATGGGAGACTACAATGTAACAAGCACCTGAAAATGTGGAAACAGAAACTGGGAAGCATAGTGGCTCAAAGAATCTGGAGCAGCAGCCTAGCAAAAGCTTAGACTTTCATGAAATGAACATTAAGGGCAACTTTTATGAGTGTTTGGAAGATGAGAGCTGTAGGGACAACCCAACTCTTGAGGATTACTAAAGTGATAGTATTGAAGTGACAGAAATATGGACCATTGAGGCCAGTATCATGGCATATTAGGCTGAGTTTCTAGCTCCAATGCCAGCATCTCATAAGGACATTAGCTTGTGTCCTAGCTGCTCCACTTCCTATCTATCTCCCTACTTGTTGCTTGGGGGCAGAGGGCAGCAGAGGATGGCTCAAGGCCTTGGGATCCTGCACCCACACGGGAGACCTGGTGGAGGCTGCTGGCTCCTGGCTTTGGATCAGCTCAGCTTCAGCCATTGTGGCCATCTGGGCAGTGAACCAGCAGATGGAAGATCTTTCTCTCTGTGTCTCTCCTTCTCTCTCTAACTCTATATTGTAAATAAAAAAATGAAGTAAATCTTAAAAAAGAGAGAGAGAAAGAAATGTGGACCATCCAGGCTATTCAGGTCTCAAGTGGAAATGAAAGTACTAGAAACTAGAATAAGAGTCATTTTTGTCATATGATTGCCAAGAAGTTGCAAAAGTATGTACAGATTATAGCACTCAGTGGAGGCTGAATTTAAGAACAATGAACCAGTATATTTGGAAGACATAACCCAAGCAGCAAAGCTTTTAAGGTGGTACACAACAACAGATTGAGAATTGGAGCCTAATGTGAGGGTTTTATACCTTGAAGATTGGCTTTCATGGAGGATGAATGCTGATTATAAAAGAGTTTGAGGCTGTGAATTAGACATCAGACTCTCTTAGTTCATATCCTCTCTTACCCTCCCACTTCCCATCATGTGATAATACAGAACAAAGACCCTTGCCAGAGGTGGGACTGTCCATTTTGGGCTTCCCAGCCCCTCAGTCCTGCAGGAAATAAATCTGTGTTCTTTATAAATCATCCACATCTCAGTTACAGCCTGAGACAGAGGGATAAGCCACAACCACATAAGTCTTCTGGTAAGAAAAAGGAATGGCTTCAAATATGCCCAAGAGGGCCCGGGGGCGTGGCCTAGTGGCTAAAGTCCTTGCTTTGAACGTGCTGGGATCCCATACGGGTGCCAGTTCTAACCCCGGCAGCTCCACTTCCCATCCAGCTTCCTGCTTGTGGCCTGGGAAAGCAGTCAAGGACGGCCCAAAGCTTTGGGATCCTGCACCCGCATGGGAGACCCAGAGGAGGTTCCTGTCTCCTGGCTTCAGATCGGCGCAGCACCGGCCGTTGCGCTCAGCTGGGGAGTGAATCATCGGATGGAAGATCTTCCTCTCTTTCTCTCCTCCTCTCTGTATATCTGACTTTGTAATAAAAATAAATAAATCTTTAAAAAACAAACAAACAAATATGCCCAGGAAAAAGAGCTGGGCAGTGACACTAAATAAATGCTTACAGGATGAACGTGACCTCACGCCTCAGATCAGTGGGCATAACCTTAGCCCCAGTCCATCAGCTCACACCAAACTCAGAGGGTGAGCATGTCAAAGCTGCCTAAGGGACCCTGTTGACTAAGCATTGTGACCAGAAGTCACATCAAGGAATGCACATCATTACTCGTACCCCTGGAAGGAGAAAATGCTCATCAGGTAGCCGCTGGCACAAATTGCTTTGTTAGACGAAGTCCTGTTGTTTGCCCAAAGATTCTAATAGCACTGCTTTTTGTCATTTGGAAAAACTTGCCATAGAGCCATGTGTGAAGAATGTGTTTCCTTGAGACCTAGGAGATCTGTGCTCTCCAGACACACTTGGCTGTACTCTGAACCTGACCCTCTTGAAGGTTCTGGTATGGTTGGACCAGACAATGGCCAGAACTGGACCCTTACCCTTCTTTCTGAGCACGTCAGCTGCCTGAAGCATGGGGTAGTTGATCTTCCTTGCTGAATTCGCCTTGCTGAAGATCTGATTAATGGAGAAATTCTGGGGCAGGTGGAATCCAATGGCCTTGGAACGTTGCTTGCAGTTTTCTTCCATGAGGGATGCCCACTGTAAGAGTGAATTGGCGGTGGGGTTGGTGGTCAGTTGCTGCAACTCTCAAAAACACTGTCAGTATCCGCTAAATCCAAACATCAACATTCTCCTGACCACATCATCCCACCACTGGACATAGACATGAATGCACAGCCCTCAGAAGACACAGATTGAAAATGCTTATAGCTGCACCATTCCTAAGAATCTTAAAGCTAATACTACTTAAACATCTGCAAGCAGCAGAGTGGACAGCTGTGGCATACTTACTCCCTATCACTGCTGCAGTACCCCAGATGCTCTGTCTTTGCTGTAGACAAACAGAAGAGGCTAGGCAGCTCCCCAACACTCTCGTATTTCTCATGCTTCTAGAATGTACATCAAGGCACCAGCAAATTCAGTGTCTGGTAAAGATGCAGTTTGTGTTCCATAGGTGCTATCATCTCGCTTTCCTGCTTGTGGACGAGGCGAGCTGACATCTCTTTTATGAGGGCACTAATCTCATGCATCAGGGCTCTACCCTCGTCACCCTTTTACTTCCTGTAGGCTCCACCTTCCAATTTTGATCTACCAAATCTGGAGCAGGGGAGAGACAAAGCTTCAACCATAGGAAAGCTCCCAAATTGGACATTATCAATGCTTATTATTACTGTTATAGGTTGACCTGTACACCTCCAAAACTTGCATGGACCTTGCAGTGTGACTCCATCTGAAGATAAGATTTAAAAAGGCAACTAGGATGAGAGGAGGCCATGAGAATGTACCTTAATCCAAAGTCATCGGTTTCCCCAGGAGGAGAGATTAGAATTCAGACACAAGCAAAGGGAAGATCATGTGAGGACATGCAAAGAAGTAGGCCGTCTGCAAGCCTAGGAGAGAGGACTGAAAACAAACCAAAACTGGGATGGTTGGGCATTGTTAAGACCATCTTAGGATATCAAAGTACACAAGACAGGGCTCTTGCTCTGCTCCCAATTCTAGCTTCCTGTTAATGTGCCCTGGGAAGAGCAGATGATGGTTCATGAAAATAGGCCCCTGTCATCCACATGAGAGACTCAGATCGAGTTCCTGGCTCCTAGCATTGGCCTGCCCCAATACTGACTATTGTAGTACATGAGGTGCCGTCCCCCCACCCTATCTTTTAAGTAAAAATTAATTAACTAATTAATTAAAAATGATTTGGGACCCTCAGTCTCCTGAACTGTGGAAAACTTCCGCTATATAAGACATTCATTCTATGGAAAATTTTTTGTTAGCCCACAATGAAGTAAATATTTTTGTCACTGCAAAATTTCTACGTTGAAGTCCTAAGCACGTGATGGCATTTGTAGACAGCCTATCAGGGAGCACTCAGATCCCTGAGGAATGGAACTGGCCTTGTAATAGGACACGAGGTAGCTTGCTTTTTTTCCCTTTTCTCTGCTTTATACCAGGTGATTTTACAAGGAAGAAGACTCTCCTAGACACTGAACCCATCTTGATCTTGGACTTGCCAGCCACCACAACTGTGAGACATGAATGTTTGTTGCGTATGTCAGCAGTGTAGGATACAACCGTTACAGCAGTCCAAGCTAAGAGACACAGGCCTGGCAAATTAAAACATGCACCGATAGCAAAGTGGACTGTATATGCAAATTACATACCCTCTCAAACTGAAAACTCCCCAAATGCCCTCATGAACAGACTGATGCAAAAACAGCCAGAGGAATGTCACGCAGCAATGAGAATGGAACCATCTATAGCTGTATACAAAAACATCCGTGATTTCTAAAAGCCCACAGACGGGGCGGGCTTTTCTTAAAGTTATTATTACGGGGAGTCCCAAGTTCCCAATCGGCATGGTAAGTGGCTATAATTCTAAAATTTTAATAAGATATAGTGTTTTATCTGTGTGTGTATAAGGAGATTCTTATCAATAACCTTGCTTTTTAGAAAGGCATTGTTAGAACCAAATGGTGTTACAGGCTGAGAACTTTGTCAAAACACACACAAACACACACAAAACAAACAAACAAACAAAAGCTCATGACTATAGTCACAGGAACCACTATTACTTAGTGAATAACCTGCTTTGCGCCAGTTGCCATGGTAAGCGCCATTCCACATTTCCCAACGACAGGTGAAATAGAGAGCATTTTCATGCCCATTTTGCAGATGGCAAAATGGAGACTTTGAGAAGTGAGGTAATTTGGTCACACTGTAAGTAGGAGCTAAGGTTCAAAGTCCTCTTCTCACATCCCCTCCACCCTGCCCTGCTCCATTACAGTTACTGAATTAACAAATCAGGTGGCTTTGTTTTAAAATAGCTACTTTGGCTGAAGTAGCTCCAAGTATCATAGATCTTCAAGGACTTGAAAATTTCTCTCTGGTTGGTCCAAATCAGCGTAACATCCAGCTTCATTAGAATGCATCTGCAAAGCCTTCCAGGTCAGTCCTGTGAGTGACTCAGCCTGGTGAAGACATGGCCCTGCTAGCAAAGGGCCCACAGACAGTGCAGGCACCAGGCAGGTGGCAGAGGAGGCCTTCCCGGGGGGTCAGAGCCCTGGTCCTCACCTGGACATATGTGATCGCTCCTTTCATGAGGCGGGCAGTGATACCATCTGGACCTCCTTTCACGAAAGATTCACTCAGAAAACCTCTAGAAAACACCAAAGAAAAGAACAACGGTGACATCATGAGCATCGTGGCGATTTCACGGTGGCTGCAGGCAGGGACAGGCACAGTTCCTTGTTTACAGTCCTGACTTTGTGAAGTGCCTGTACGCTGCCAGGCACTGCCACATGCAAAGGGCAGCTTGATCCCACCGGAAGCCCCCCAGCCAAGGACACGAGCCTACAAACTAAATGCTCAGTGCTCACAGGAGAAGGGGCTCATGGAGGCCCCCTCACTCATGACGCTCTTCTTGGAGGAGCTTCCTGATCTACCATTTAAGGGAGCCTGTCCAGACTGGACACTGGACCCCATCAACGAACCACCCCAAAGGACCTTTTCACTAGTTTATACTCCTCAAAAGGAATGGACAACTTCTCATTTCTGGATTTGATTGGGCCTATATCATGTCCATTTTATTTTCATCTCACTTTGCAATTTTGAAAAAAACTTTCCAGTGTGAAGGGAGCAATAACACTCCCTGCCCCCAATTTCCTATGTGGCAGTTCTGACACCTCGATATTTCAGGCCTGGACTATGGAAGAGACAGGGTCTTTACAGAGGTGATTAAGTTACAGAAGATCATTCAGGTTTGCTGCAAGCCACCGGAATAAAGTGTCCTTCTGGGAAGAGGACAGAGAACACAGAGCCACACAGAAGGCAGGCAACATGAAGACACAGGGAGAGGCCGCAGTAGAGATAAGCCCAAGCCTGCCACCGCTCGGTCTTGGATACTTAAGTTCCAACCCTGAGACTGGATAAGGTGTTACAGCTGTCCCAGTAAATAAATCCACTCAGCCTTTTGTGCCCTGAAGTTAGGAGTCAGCAAACAAACATTACCAAGTTCGGAATTTTGCAAGAATCAAGCACCTTGTACTATAGCCACATTCCAGTTTTGTTTTAATGTTTTATTTTTTTCGTTTACTGGAAAGGCAGAGTGACAGACAGAGGGAAAAAGAGACACATCTCCCTTCCATTTGTCCACTCTCCAAATGCCTCTGACAGCCAGGACTGAAGTCAGGAGCACCACCCAGGTCGTCTGCATGGGTGGCAGGGACCCAAGTATTTGAGCTATCATAGGCTGCCTCCCAGGACACATGAGCAGGAAGCTGGATTGGAAGTGGAACATGCAGGACTCAAGTCCAGCACTCTGATAGGGGCTGTGGACACCCAAAGCAGCAGCTTAACCACTGTCTCAGGTGCCTGCCCCACATTCCAGTCTAGAACATTCCCTGTCCCTTAGAAAGATGTCATGAGCCTTTCTGAGCTGCTGCAATGCACAGTTCATCCCAGCAGGCTTTCACGGGGCACCTGAGGTGTGCAAAGTGCTGTGTGGCATGCTATGATATAACAATGGCAAAATGCGATCCTGCTTTTGGGAGCTAAGAATGGAACTAGGGAGTCATATACCAATAAATAACAACAGTACCTTGGCTGAGTGGGGTGCCAAACACAAAGGAATTTAGCCTGAAGAGGAACAAGAGGAACAGGGAGGAACACGTGACAGAGGAAGAAAATGCCACTGGGTCTAGACATCAGGAGGCGGGGATGAGGAGAAGATGATAAAAGAGGAGGAAGAAGAGGATATTGGAGATAAAAGAAACTTCTGGGTATCCCACATTTCAAGCATGCTTCACAAGTTAGTGAACAGTGAAGCAGCTGTCACAATATAAGAAATTGGTGAACTTGGGGCAGGGGTTCAGCCTGATGGTTGAGACCTGGCTTGGGACACAGCATCCCACTGGAGTCCCTGGGTTCAAGTTTTGGTTCTGCTCTAGTTTCCAACTTCCTCCTATTGCACCTGGTGCATGGGAAGCGGCAGGTGATGAACCTGGCAGTGGGTCCCTGGCCACACCCCTGGGGAATGTGACTTGACTGACATGAGGCAGACTCCAGGCTCTCAGCTTCGGCTGCCCAGGCCTGGCCCCTGGAGACATTTGAAGAGTAAACCAACATTTAGACTGACAGTAGGCTTGTGCTCTACCCCTTAGAATGTCAGAAGATGCAGTGGTCAGAGTCTTCAAACCTAGTTTACATGACAAGGAGGCAGGAAGTGTCTCAGAAACAGAGAACTGACCGTTTATTATCGTATATCTTTCAGGAAAAAGAAAAAGAAAAAAAAAGATGTCCAATTTACTTAGATTACAGTTTAAAAAAATCTTACATGCTGAAAAGATAATTTGGTCAAGATGTTTTTATTTTACAGAGAGGAGACACACACAGAGAACTTCCCTCTGCTAAGTCACTCCCCAAATGGCCTCAATGGCTGGAATTGAGCCAATCTGAAGCCAGGAGTCAGGAGCTTCTTCCAGGGTCTCCCACATGGGTGCAGGGGCCCAGGGACTTGAGCCATCCTCTGCTGCTTTCCCAGGTCTTTAGCAGGGAGCTGGATTGAAGCAACCTGCACTATGAGTGTCGGCGCCACAGCTACGGGCCTAGCCTGTACCCCACAATGCTGAACACAGGAAATGTGATTTTAAGACAGCAAACTTCTGGGAACTGAGTTATCAAAACAATTCCATTCACCATAGCATAGGAAAACAAAGCAAAATTTCAGATATAAAATTAGTGGAAAATGCTGAAGACTTCTCTGAAAATAACATTAAGAGAAATTAAAGGTTCCAGTGTGCGGGGTTATATTTCAAGCTCAAGGATTGGAAGACAGTATTGCTCACAGTATTTTTACAGTATTGTAAGGCAAAAGTTTTTACTCAAGTGACAGATTTCATTGAATCATAATCAAAATTTCTCAGGTGGTTTTTTGTGTTTTCTTATAGCTGCAACTCTATTTGGTGAGTCGTTTTCCATTCTGACAGGTTCCTCTTTTCCAAGCAGGAATTTAACTTCCTAGGTGCCCGTTTTCCAGTATCAGGCTCTGGGGGTTTCTGTCACAGGCCGCCCTTCCTAAGTGACCCTGCAGCGCTGCGGGTGGAACGAACTTGGCACGCCTCTCTGTCACCCTGCTCTTTAGAACACTAGTCAGCAGCAGACAGCTCAGTAATTACCTTCCAATATTCCTAAGAACACCAATTGTGGAGTCTTCAGCAAGTTTTAATTACTCGACATTTATAACACAATGGACCCACTCACAGACACTGGCAATTCAGGGTCAGCTAATAACTAACCTTTTACAGAGTTTTCGCCCTTGCAGCGATCTGAAACCCCGCTCGGCTTCCAGAAAGCCACCTGCTCCGGCGCAGCCCAAGTGCTGCCGGCGGGCTTCCGGGACCCTTACCTGGGCAGCGCCAGGGAGTCCTCGGCTCTGTTGAAGGCGCTGGCAATCGAGGGCAGTGCCAGCACCCCGTCCAAGTCGAACACAGCTGCGCGCAGCGCCATGGCGGCCTGCGCTGCAGCCTCGCTCCCAGATGCCCAGCACAAAGACCCGGCCGGGCTAGGCCTCGGGTGTCCCGGCAGGAATCCTACTCCCGCCCCTGCTCCGCCCCCCAGGCAGGGCCACGTCCGGTGGCCCGCCTCTGCTCTGCCCGCTGTCCCCGCTCCCCGCTCCCCGGAGCGGTTCCCTGGCTGCGTCCCTAGGGACCGTCTCCCAATGCGCTCGGCCTCTGACCTAGAACTCCGCCTTAAGTTTGGTCAAAGGTCTGCCCGCACCCCTGCATCCCTGGCTTAACAAGACTGGACCAGACTTTGACCCTCCTGAGAAGTGTCAGGGCTCGCAAATTTAGAGAGACTCTGTCGTTAAATGTTTGATCCTGTTGACAGGTTCTGTAAACAGCTTTACCTATTCCTGTGCCAACTGCTCCCCCAGGCTCCTAGCCAATGCAAAGCTCCAGGAATGTGTGCCAGCCCCATGCTACTTTGATTCCAAGCTCTTGTGCAAATGAGGTTCAGGAGAAACACATTTGGACTGTGTCCCTTGTACACATTCTACTTATAATAATGCTGCCAAAAAGTGGGCAAGATTTGCATGTCATCCATGATTTATCCTAAAAATGTGTCCCTTTGGGAGACCCCCTGAAAAGTGCCTTGGTAGCGTTATTGGCACCTTCAGGCCCATGTAAGAATATATCCACCACTGGATAAAAACCTGCTTTCAGCCTGCTGTTCTGGGGGCATCAGCCCAGGGCCTGGCTCAGGATCCAGAGAGTGAGATTTGGCTTTTGAATTTATCTAGGATATTGTCCACCACTGAGCTACGAGAGGGGTGCGCACAAGTGTCAGATGCCTTACTGAAACTGGCAGGGATGTAACGATCGTCAGCCAGGTCAGCAGGAAAGAGGAGTTCTGTGTGGGTTGTTTGCCCTTAGAATGTGTGCTGAGAGTCCTGTTCTGCCTGCTAGTCCCTTCTGGGATCCTGCAGCAGTCAGCCATCACCAGAACGTTCAGCCATGGCACAGGTTGGAGCAAGAACTAAGGACAAAAAGACCTGACTGGAACTGGAGGACACTGAGTGACCCTTAGGAAACAGCATCAGTGAAGGTGGGTAGAAGCGGGGTTACCCTGGGTCTGAAGACAAGAGTGTTGAGTATAGGAAAGTAGTCACTCAAGAAGTTAAATTTTATTTAGGAAGGAAGGAAGGAAGGAAGGAAGGAAGGAAGGAAGGAAGGAAGGAAGGAAGGAAAAAAGGAAGGAAGGAAGGAAGGAGGGAAGGAGGGAAGGAGGGAAGGAAGGAAGGAAGGAAGGAAGGAAGGAAGGAAGGAAGGAAGGAAGATTGAAGCCTGAGTTTCATAGCATGAGATATTTGGGCTCCTGACTTGCACCCCTGCTTTCTTACTCTTTGTCTCCCAAATGTTGAATCAGCCTCTGGAATTTATCATGACCACAACAAAGCTCCACCTGCATCTCGCAGCATACTCCCCCTCTCACTAAGTGGTGTCCCCATCGATGCACTTGCTTAGTCCAAAGAACTTCGAGTTGATTCCTGATCCCTGGCTCCAAGGTGTTCTCGAACCTAAGAGTTGCCAGCTAATTGGAACAAAGGTCTGGGAGTCCAGACTGTTGGCAGGAGCTGAGAAAGAGAGCAGGAGTCGAGAGGAGACCTGCACAGCAGCTTCAAGAGTAGCAGGACGCCCAGGGTTTTAGTTGGCAGGCAGGGACAGTGCTGCAGCTCCGTGACCCCCAGCATTCAGCCGTAGCTGTGAGAGCCTCGCAAGTCTGGTCCCACAGTGATATCCTGGCAGTGGACTTTGCTTCTGCATGTTTCCTGAGCTTGTGACAAGTATGATCAGAAAGCTCTTGTCACTCTCCCAGCGTGTCTCTCTGGTGCTCTCCACAGAGCATGTTCCACGTTGTACACACTTTGAAGGAGAAATATTTACAGAAATATTTTGCAGGTGTATTCAGAGCAACATGAGGCAGCCAATTGATAACTTCCTGGCTGGTCAACATCTAAGTTCACATTCTGATCTGCTGCTCAGTGGTTGCATTGGTCTAATTCACAGCAATGAGACTCAGAACCAGGATGGTTCCCGTGACAAGCTTGGGGGAGCCTCTCTTGTCAAGGAAAGATGCTTCCCCTTGTTTGATGAATGTTTTCTTACTTCAGCTAGAAAAAAAAAAAAAAAGCAAAAAACCTGAACTGAAGGAGCTACCACACCCAAGAAAGCCATGGTTCTCTGTGTGCCTACTACCACTCCTCCCTGCCTTTAGTCAAAAAACAAAACAAAAAACAAACAAAAGCCAGTATCTGCAAGCCTCAGCAGGCAGGTTGGAAGGCGATCCCTGGGAAGAGACACACAGCACAGCCCAGACATGCAAGGTTTGCTCTGGGACGTTAATTACCTGCTGAGTATGCATAGAAGGACTTAGTCCATGAATGGTCCATGGAAAGTGAAGCTGAGATTTAGCATGGTCTGAGGTACTAGAAAATAGCACGGTCTGGTGGAAAAATTTGATGGAATAGGAATGTTGGAGCTGTTTATTTCATGTGTAATCCACTTGCCTTCCTCTTAGAAGATGCTTCAGATAGCCCCTTCTCTCAGGCTTGGAGACATGCATTGGTGAGAGAGGCCTGCAATCTTGGCTATGAGGCCATGGAAGGTGGTTTGTACTTTGGAAATCAATATTTGAGCTAAGGAAAGTACTTCACATAGGACTGTTAATGATCACCCCACTCTGCTGAAGGAAGACCCAGGAGCAAGCTCTGCGGCAACCTCTTCCCTAACTAATCAATCAATTAACACAATCTTGGGTTTTGGAGGAGACACAAGGGCTCAGACCATCATCAAAGACTGGAATGATGCAGGAATGGCCATTTTGGTGACCACAAGCTATAGCTAAGGGAGATGAGTCTTGTGGAATGCCAATGGGTCACTAAAAACTTGACTGTCCGAATCCAATTACGGCTGTTGCTGCCACTGCTGTCACTCCCCAATGCCCAACTTCCTTAATCTCCAATGTGCTGCCACCCAGAGGTTCCAGTCACTCACCTGGTAGACACTGAACTTGTGCCATGATGGAGGGTAACAGCCCACCTCTTAGAGAAGAGATGCTGATTCTTGAGAATTGGTCGAGGAAAGTTCTAAACATCAACTCCCGTCAGTGATGTGGAAGCACCATTAGACCATATGCCTGAGCGTATTTTCTTGCTTATTGAATTGATAGTGTTACTTTCTATCCACTGCACTAATTTATAGGCAATGTATTTTTTGTGAATTTTATGATTCACTGCATAGAGAATAGAATTTCAAGATGATATGGTGTCAAAATTAGGCAAAACTTGGCCTTGTTAGAGAGGCCAACTCGAAACTAAGCAGTTAACTTGCTGTGTCTCTTCAGAATTGAGGGGTGAACTTTCATTTTAATGAAGGATGGTTGCATATGTTAGTGTGCTAGTTGTGCTTTATTAGGCCCTGTATTGGTCTGTAATCCGTTTCTGGCAGGTTCAAGCTGGCAGTCAAAGCTGTCTATTCCTCCCCTGTGACCCAGGTTTCATGGACATAAGAGTCAGGGGTCCCAGGAAAGGCTATGGCCTATGCTTCCTGCTTTACCTTTCTACCTTCTGACTAAGACTGAGGCTCCCCTGTGCAGCCCTGTGTGCCCTGTGTGTCTCTGTGCCCAGGCACCTGTGAGTCCAAGCGTCTTCCTTCGTGACAGGCATTCTCATGTCTGTACACCTCATATCTGATTAAACATTCTGCTTATTTTCTGATACTGTGTTTTTGTGATAGTAATCCAAAGAAAAAAAAGTTTCATGTAGTTCATAGATTCAATTCTAACAATATGCATCTTAAAACAGATAAGTAGGGGGCCAGTGTGATGGCATAGCTGGCTAATCCTGTGCCTGCAAGCATCAACACCCCACATGGGTGCTAGTTAGTGTCCTAGCTGCTCCACTTCTGATCCAGCTCCCCCTTGCTTATGGTCTGGGAAAGCAGCAGAGAATGGCTCCAGTCCTTAGGCCCTTGCACCAATGTGGGAGACCCAGAAAAAGCTCCTGGTTCCTGGCTCCAGATTGGTTCAACTCCAACTGTTGCAGCCATTTGGGGAATGAACCAGCATATGGAAAATCTCTTTCTCTCTCCTTTTTCCATCTGCAAAATCTGCTCTTGCAATAGAAACAAAGACATTTTTAAAAACAAATAAAATAGTTAAGTGCAAGCTTTTTTTAAAAAAAGCAGAAAGCATGGAAAGTTGATGTTGGAAATCAAAGAACTAGGCAGACAGATATTTGGGGACAGAGCCTAGGAGCCAGAGCCCACCTTCTACAACGAAGCTCAGCCTTCCCTGACCTGGCTTGGGACACGTAGTTAATCAGTTGCATCTGTTGTGACCGTTGCATCAGGATCTGGTGACACACAGCAGCGAGGAGGAAGAATTCATTGTGGTGGCAGCAGCGGCAGCTGCAGGAATGATTGGTTTCCAAGGACAGCAGTGCCTGCAGCACTTGTGTTGGTGCAAGGGTTTGCATGCAGTCCTGCAGCCATAAGACCCAGAGGCTGCATGATACCAGTCTGGGCATCAGTTAGAGCAAGGCTTCCTGAGTTCTTTGGTCTCCCAGTAGGTTCCTGGCTTGCCAAGTGCTGCTGGGAACCACTGGTATCTTTAGTAAAACCTGTCTCCGCTGACATCAGTCATGAGGTTTCACTGCTTGCAAACTTAAATCCTGAGGATATCACCTATATTTCCCTTTCTCCTTTCCCCTTCCATTCTTTCTTCCTTTTTCCTTCCAGTATCCAGGAGAAGCATGGATACACCTACTTTTACGTGTATATGAGTATCTCTATTCCATCTATGCAAATACGGTGACGTATTAATTACTGATAGTGGGAACGAGTGCTTTATTTTTTTGTTATCTTCGGCAGTCACACACATGAGAAAGCATGATGCATCTGTGTCATGTACCACTCCCCGTCCCTAGCACTGTATTATACTTACATTAA